ATTTATTGAGAGCTCAAAGTTAAGATGTTATTATCTATAAAATCTCATTATTTCTATTATTATTTACAAGTAGCTAGAATATTAAATTGTCAAGCTCTTCAAATATCGATAATGTAACAGCATAATCAAAATATAACAAATGAATAGGTAACTAATAAGAACTTGAATGATGCTACATATGACAAAATCTTAATTTTTGTTTGAAACTATTATAAAAATAAACAACTAAAAATGAGGAAACTGAAAATCTAAAAAAGATTCACAAGTAACTAGATTTCTATTTTGAAGAAAATTTATTTAATAATCACACTCCTATTTACTTGGTATTCAATAAATTTAATTATATTCATAAAAACTCAGTATAAATAATATTATTTGGATTTTTTAAGTATTATAATCTAATTCATTGAAGTTGAGAGTATAAAGATATCTCAAATTATTAATTATAAATACTGATTTCGTTAAAAAAAGGCTAATTTGCAAAATAGCTTATTTATTTAGCTTTAAAAATAGAGTATGATTTAACTCTAAAAATAATGGAGGTAGTTATAAATAATCAAAATATTCAATCCTAACTTAAAAAGATTATAATACAGTTTAATTTTTTAGATTAATAAAATTTCCATTTGATCTTTGATGTTTTCATCAGAATTCTTACAGGTAATTGTATAAATGTATAGAGACTGTTAAATTTAGGAATTTCTGTTCATAAATTTATTGATTCATTTTCCAAAGACTGTTTAATTGATAATAATTTAAGATAAGAACAATAACATATTTATTTTTTTTGTTCCATAAATTTAGTAATTGGTATGGTTATATATAATCTAAATTTTTAGTTATAATGTCTTTTGAATAAATATTATAATTTATTGGCTTGTATATTAATTATTAAGATTTAAGTAATGTTATTATTTCAATTTTTAATCAAGAATTATAATGGATTAAATTTTTTCGATTAGCCAATTGATTCAACAAGGAAATTTTAGTTAGTAGAATTTGATGTTCTCGTTTCAAAAATAATTTTATGATGTTATATTTGATTAATTTTTATTATGTAAATAATTTACGGATGTATTAAGCAATTATTGATTAGATGTTTAAATATATTCAAATACACAAGAGTAGAAAATGTAGAGAAAAGTTATTAGATAGAGAGTGTGAACAGAGATATTGAAAGTAATATGAACGCTGAATTAAGTAAGTATAATTAAGAATTTAATTTAGGAGCACATGAAGATTCATTCATATAAAATCCTGAAAACAAAATAGAAGAGTTTGAAAACAAAGCTAATTTTTAAGATTGCGAATAGATTAATGATGAGGAAACAATTCGATAATTTATAGATGATATTCCTCATATCTCATTTTCTTAAACTGAATTAATGAAGGAAATAGGACAAAAAGCTGTTGTAGCTTTTATTGCTGTAATAGATAAAATGGAGGGATTCGAATTGTTGGAAGAAGATCAAGAGTTTTACTTTTGGATAAAATATATAGAAACACCTGAAAAATATCAGATCGGAATTATGAAATACACTTATACTTTGAACACATCAATTGAATCTTACTTAGAATTCATGAAAAATTTGGAATTATAAAAGTAAATGGATAATAGTATTGATGCATTTGAGAAACATTATGAAGACAACAATTTATAGATAAATTATCTAAGATATAAAAAAATTATGTTTATGGACCCTAGGGACTTTTTATATATTAAATACACAGATAGAAAAGGAGATGATTGCTTAGAGATTTCAAAATCCATTAATGTAGATCATTTTCATCCTTAGTAAGTTATTTATGTTTATCGATATAGAGAAGTATCTGCTAAATAATGCACTAGAGCTTTGTTATTGTTAAGTGGGAATCAAATTAAATAAATTGAGGAAAACAAAATAATGATTACAACTTATTCTGAATGCAATATGAAATTGAAATTAAAACCTGTGATGACAAAGCAAGCAAGCAAAAATGAAATAAAAAAAATGGTTAAAAGATATCGTGATCATTTTAATTAGTGATGTAATTTTTTAATATTTTTTTTTATTAAATTTTGATTAAATATTATGGATTAAGATAACTACTATTAAGATAGATTAGAAGTTGAATCTCTATAGCAACGTCTACATAAAACTAAATTTTTAGAAGATGAATTTGAAAATTAAAATAATTAATTCAAACCTACACTACTTAGAACTTTGTAGCCTGTTTCTTTTAGTGATACAGAAATTATATCCAGTCGTTAACAAATGTGTAAGTTCAAAGTTCTTTACAAACGAACTGTTCCATTAAATTTGAAATTTGAACAAAAGAGCTAATCCTAATGTCACTCAGAATCAAAATCTTAAATCGTAAAAATTAGAAAAAGAATTGCTAAAAAATAATTTAAATAAAGCAAAACCAAATGACATTATTATATTATATAAATAAATATCAAATGAGTTTAAATAGAATACAAGAAAAAGCTTAGGCCTTTACTTTTGGATCAGAGTAATTTCCACAAACAAATATTCCTAAATCTACTCATGATTCCAAATTGCCACCATTTAATAAAATTTCAAAATCGAATAGATAATTACAATTTCAAAATTAAAACGATTTATCCATATATCACAAAAGAGGATTATCTCAATAATTGACAGATACAATAAATAATAAAGAAAATCAATTTGCTTCTCTCAACGTAAATCAAAGAGTACAAACAGAAACTAATTCATCTATTACTCACAAACCTCCACAATGTAGATTCAGACTTCCAAGAAAATCATCGAATTATTCAAGACCTTAATCAAAAGAAGACTAAAATAGATATAAAAATATTGCTGAACAAATGAAATAAATGTTTATTCTTCAGAAATATTATCTAGAGTAAGGTCAACATGCACAATTGCAATAACTATATTAGTAATTTGAAATACTATGTAAAAAATTATGAAACTCTTATCAAATCCAAAAGCAGTATTAGTAATGTAATAATACTCAATCAAATATTTTCCTTTTACTACTTTGCAATTAACTATTGTTTTTTAAGTATAAGCTTCTCTACAAAGGACCTATGTAATGCTTTAAGTATTACTTAAAGAAGTTCTTCTTTCCTCGAATATTCTCTCTCTTTTCTAATAAACAAAGCGAGAGCTATGTTAATGTTATGTATAAGGCATGGGATTGAATGATGCTTGAAGAGTAAAATCTTAAAGCTAACATTGATCCTCATCAAATGAGCCTTCTAAAGTAGTATTAAGTTGAGAATCCTTTTATTTGCATTTTATTATATCCTTTTCAAAGTTTATTTCATTATTTATAGAAAATATAGTATATTCTTCAGGAAAGCATTCCTTATAATATTTTAATTCTCCTTTTGGCATAGTGTATTTTGATCTAAATATTTCATTTGATTATTTTTAAGTTGTCTTTGATTTATTTTAAGTAGGAGATTTTGATTAGGATTTAGAATTGCAATGAAATTCACAAGGTTTTTTTTGAGATGATTGCCTAGACTGTTTATAATAATTTTTTATCATTTATTTTTAAATAACTTAAGAAATTATAATATTTATCATCTATCGTTTCTCTAAGAATCTCAGATAACATTTATAATAAATACATATATAAATCATTTTGTGGGTGTTTGAACCTTGTCTAGTTTTTCAAGTTTGTCACCTCCTAAAATATTGGCTTTTGCAATCTTTACAAGCAAATTTAAAATGTTAGGATTAACTTTATCAAATCCTGCTTGTATTTATGTTCCTAAATATTCTTCTGATTTTAATGAAAACTCTCCTCCAAATTTAGGTATAATGATATCAGCATACTACTCAGTGGGCTTTATTATTGATTCATAAAGAGGTTTTAATCTATTTAAGTAATTATGAATAACTTTCTCTACATCTTTATGTTTAGTATATACTTCCTTATATACTAAAAGTTTAATTAAAATTTAAATACTTTTTCTTGATAATCTCACATCTTGATCATGATGTAAGAATATCTTCAAATCAAGCAAATCTCTTAAATATCTATCATACAAAATCAAAGTTCCTTCAATTATTATAACATTTTTGTCTCTAGTAGTCAATAGAGTATTGATGGCTGTCGTCTAAACATTAGTATAATAATATATACCAAAAATTTTTGATAATCTTAATTATTTACATAAGGCACATTATTAAGTGGATCAGAATTTTGTTTACTAGGATGATTAATTAAAAAAATACAAATGATCGAAATCATCGCTGTCTACATCAAAGTTATCTTGTTTAACTACACTAACTAAAAACCCTAATGATTATAGTTCATTCATCAATTTTTCAGTTAGTAAAGCTTTTCCTGAAGAGTGACCACCACAAATCTAAATGATTTTAATATAGATTACTCCAATTTTAAATGGTTTTCCACTAAAAGGTTAGACTTTAGGACTTGAATTAGAGCGAACCAATTCATTTCCAAAAACTGTGTTCATAGTATTATTTGCTGTAGCTTAATCGGATTGAGTTGTATTTACTGTTGAACTGTCTAAAGCTTCAAGTTAAGCTAAATTATCCATTAATTAAAACAACTAAATTCTTTTTTTAATTTTTTCTATCCAAAACACAAATTCTTTATATGTTCATATTATAATGATATATGATTTAATAAATCGAATTCAAAATAAACTGTTATTCTTTTAAATCAAACATTTTATGCAAATTCATTATCATATAAATCCATACCATTTTTTATATTTTAAAGTTTTTGTTCCTTTCTCTATCAACCAATTAGTTATTGTGACAAATAAGCACAAAATAGTTAATTGTACACTTGGTTCTTCACTTGAAGGGAATGTTAATTCAAGATAGGCATTTAGCATTTCACTATAATTAAATGCGGATACTATACACAAAATAAGAGGAATAAACTAATAATATAATATAAAATATTACTAAGCTTTTGAAAAATTTAGAATTCACATCAATTTTTTGCATGTGTGGTTCTCCAGGATGATTAAACAAAAATATACAACTTTATTAAAGTAATTGTAATAAAAAGACAGTTGTATTTAAAAAGGTTGGTTTGAATTCTGTATCATTTTTAATTTCCTTTTCAATTTATGTCATATTTGGCATAGCAATATGATGAATAGCATAATGCATAGACCAGATATGTAAGATGATTTAGAGTGTTAATGAAATGAAAAAAGAAAATTCAAAAATAGAAAAGCTTGGTTTTATTTTGGATAAAGTCTTTTATGGTTTAGCAGAAGAATAACAAAAGTAATAGGCTGCTCCTAATATACCCATTAAAGTCATTTAAGTTTCACTCATTTTTAAAGATTGCATATGTAAAGCACTTAAAGAATATGCATTTAATACACTTTATAAGGCCATAATCTTATAAGTTTAGATTGTAGTTACTAAAGTACAAATTCCTTACATCAAAATAGTATGAACACATCGAATACTAGTAGACATTTTAGATGTAAAAGGAGCAGCAATACAAGCATCACCAAATTTATAACTGGGTCCCATATCAAACAATCCTGCTGTTTATTATTGCATATGTTAATTAGCAATATTCTTCATTTTTTCTTTATCTCCTTTAGCCTCATTCATTTTCTTTCTAAGTTCTTCCTGTTATTTTTTAACCTACTTTAATTGTTCAGTAAATGATAAATTAGCAATTCTCTCTTCCTCTTCTTCATCTTCTTTTTGTTCTTCTCCTTAATTTGTAACTAAGGCAATTCCTACATCTGCTTTTTTCAAAGCGCCTACATCATTTGTTCCATCTCCACACATTAAAACTCCTTTACCTTATTTCTTAAATTATATAATTATAGTTTCTTTTTGTTTAGGTGACATTCTTGCAAAAATACAAAAATGAATAATCAATTTTAATTAATTTGAATTTTCTAGTTTCTCCATAATCGATGATGAAATACACAACATTCCTTCAAATTATTTAATTTCCTTTTCTAAATTATTCAAAACCTAAGTATTTTTAGTACCATGTTCTTCTAATACATAATTATTATTTTAATAATCTAAAATATAAGTCTTTTTATTATCATGTAATAATAACTATTTGCCAACTGCAATAGCAGTAAGTAAATTATCTCCTGTAATAATAATTGGTTAGAAATAACTAGTTTTGAATTTTTTAATCCATTATTGAGTATCAGTCTTCAAAGGAGATTCACAAATTAGGAATCCTTGAAAAACTAAATTTTATTCTAATTCTTCTCTTTCTTGATTCTCAAATTCTTGGATTTCTCTATCAGCTAAACAGAGTACTCTATATCCTAAATTTGAATAATGTTAATAACAATATTCATACTCATCAGGTATTTGTAAAAATAATTATTATAATGCTTCTGGTGCACCTTTTACTAACAACCTATAATGTCTTTATCCTTTCTAATCAACCTATACAACAGTACTCATTCTTTTTAAATCACTTTTAAATGAAAAAACTTATTTTTAATATATAGTAAGTCCTAAATCTCTATTTTAAGCATATTTTTATTAAGTTTAATAACTCCATTAATTATTTTATTAAAAAAATAGTAATTCTATTGGATCTCCTTATAATTTATTATCTGCATAGATTAATTAATGACAACCAGCTAAAATTTATTGGCAATTTAAGGAACAATCACTTTTAGATTATACACATCTCTTGTTACAATTATCCACAATTCCAGAAAATAGTAAAGTATCATTCGTTAATGTTCCAGTTTTATCAAAAGCCAAGACTTCAACTTTTCCAGCCAATGGAATTCTGAAAGGTTCAGTACAAAAGATTTTTCGTAATTATAATAATGCTAATGATTAATTAACAGCAATAGATAAAATCATAGGAAGTTCAGGAGGAACAACAGTAGTAACAATTAATATACATCTAATAAATAATTTATTTTTATTTCTAGATTCTTCTTAAAGTCCATTCATCAAAACATAAGCACTAGCACTCAAAGCAAAAATTAATAAAACAACAACAATGAACAAACCATCTGTTTATTTAACATTTGCATTTTCATTATTATAGAATACAGTTTTAATCAATTTTCCTTTTGCAGTATCAAATCCTGTTCTCAATACTAAACCTAAACAATGAGATTAATTTTAATCATTATTTATATATGATGGATATTAAGTATTGCCTTGTAATTATATGATTTCAGTTCCACAAAATATAACATTTGATTTATGTTTATTTTTGATATCCAAATGTTCATTTTAATGTTTATTGATTCCTTCCTTAACTTATGGTACACTCTCTCCTGTCAACATAGATTCATTTACTACTACTTAACCATTTAGTAATAGAATGTCACATGGAACAGATTTATAGGAATCAACATTCATAGTTTCTACTTAAAATAATTTAGGTGGTAAATGTTTAGAAAATGGAATCTACTCTCTTAAAAATTGTTCATCATCATTATTATTATTATTATCTTTAACAGCAGGTTTGATTTATTCAGCTGTTTATAATATCACTATATCACCTGGAACTAATAATTCTGAAGAAATTTTAGTCCATTAATTTTTTCTATAAACTGTGATCAATTATGGATTCAATTTCATCTATCTAAGTGTTAACATTGTTTTCATTCTTTAGATTACAACAGTACAAGATGTAAAAAATAGCATTGATAAAGTAAATAAAGCATAGATCCTACTTTCATCTAACAACCATAAGGAAACACTAAAAATTTAAAAGAATGAGAAGGGTTCCATTAATTATTCTTTTAAGACTTCATTAAACTTCTTCATTGGAATTAATAAAGAATTCTTTTCATATTCTTCTGTTTTTTCTTGTCTTTCCAAATTCTCAAGATTAAATTTTACATTTGGTTTTAATCTAATAAATAATTCTTTTGCTTCATCATAAAAATACTTATTTTCCATAAAGTAGATCCAATATTTATTTTATTGATCTGACTATATAGTCACAATATCACAATAAGATTTCTACTGTTTAATAAATAAGACTTTGCAATATTTGTAATTTTAAACATTATTTAAGCTGAGTTTATTGCCTCCTGAAAAATATCTAATTTTAGATTTCATTTAAACTGACCAATATGAACTCATGTAGACTAATGAATGAAAAAACACTAAACCAATAAATGTTAATCTTGCATAAATATTTTCCATTGATTCATAATATACTTCATCATTATAAACTTGATATAACTTTAAAATATACTTTCAGCTCCATAAAATGTGGCTTTATTTATTTTTTCCATTAATGGATTAGTATCCATAGGAGCTTCTTCATCTAAAGTACTCCACCAAAAGTAGAGAGCAATATAACCAATGACAAAAGGCCAAATGTCAAATCTCATAAACTTTGGTCTCAAATTCAATAACTCAAAGGAAAGTGTCATTAATTAATATTTTATCAAATTAAATACTCAACAATCCTTTATAAATAGTTAGAATCCACTTCATTAAATCGTGACAAATGTTCTGAGTCAATATCTAAAACACTCTATACAACTCCATTCTTTATTACTGGAATTACTATTTCACTCTATGTTTCATTATCACAAGCTATGTAATTCTAACAAACTTTCACATCCTCTTAGATTTATACTTTTCCCTCTGACCAACATTAACCACATTATCCTTTCCCTTTCTCAATTCTTGGTGTTGCCAATATTGTACTTTAATATGGACCTACTTCTAAATATTTATCTAATATAGAATCTTCTATTTTACCATCAATAACTTCGTAAAATCCAACAAAAAATAAACCACTAACATTGTTTTTCAGTAAACTGACAATCGAAGTTTCAATTGCATTTCGACCTAAATTTGAATATTTTTTTATAAAATGATCTAGTAATTCAAGAACTTTTTCATATTCTTATTCTTTATTCGGCTGATTCATTTAATATTTATTAATTAAATTTATTATTAAATATTTACTCTTAATTATATTATAAATATCACCAAAAATATATTAATTTGTTAAAATACTCGAATAAACACGAATTATTAAGAATTTAATTCATTATATAAACTTCAAATCAATATCTTATTTGGTTATTATAATAAATTGTATTTTAATGAATACCTTTTCTCCAGTATCAAAAATTTCAAAGCTTATGCCTTTGAATCATCTAAAAAAAGCAATATTAAACGATGAAGAGCCTATGTTTCTTGAGGGAAATAGTAAGGAAATCAAATTTAACGATCTACTTATCGTACTTAATTATCATCCAGAAAAAGAAGTCACCTAAATCAAAAGATAAGTGTTAAAATGTTAAGGGCTCTCAAATATAGGATGGATGAACCCATGTCTTGACTAAGAAAATGCTTAGAATATATCAAATAAAAAGTCTATTTTAAAAAGAACCGATAATAGAAGATTATAATGACTTTTTATATTTTTATATTTTTATAAACTCATAATTTTCAAACTGCTATAATTGCTGACAAGGCATCTATTGAGACTGTATTCTATATTTTAATTCCTTTTTGTTTAATATAAAATCTTGTTGCTTAGTTTCTGGCATCAAATTATTCATTCGATGCCATACTACTTAATTGTTTCATTTTTTATTTTTTAATTTATAGAAGTTTTTCCTCTATTTAAGGTTATTCATATGATGATGTTATAGAGATTATTTCATCACTCTTTTTATTTTTGACTCTCCTTCAGCAAAACTGCTTCAATTCCTTTATTGATAGTCAATTCTTATAAATGATTAAAATTGCTTATCAAATCTATACTATTCCATGATTGAATCAATACCATACCACCTTTTCTATACTGTCTACCTTAAAAATAATCTAAGAAATGATTTTTCGGTTATACTTATTAGTACAAAATCTCTTCGCTCTCTTTTAATTTATTCTCAAAATTGTTAATCCAATTTCTTGTTAATTCTGATGCTTCACTAAACCCTTTTTGATATATGTCTTTGTTTTTCATTCTCAAGAACTTATACTCTATCAGTCTTAATTTAAAAATCTACAATTCTATTTTCTCAAGCTTCTCTAATTTTACGTAATGCAACACAATCAGAATACATTTGAGATTTCTCTTACTATAACTTTTGTAAATCATCTTTCAATCTCTTTTCAAATTCAATAGTGTAAGATATATTCAACAATTAAGATTTTAGTTCCTTTTACTATTGAGCCCAGAGAGATTTTTATGTTAAGAATGTTAAGTCGGCTTATTTGTTAAAAATTCTTCATTTATATTCTATTCATCAAATTGCTAATTAATTTAATTGAATAAATGAACAATACACAAATCTCTTACAATACCTACCCTTCATCAACTCTTTAACATATTTCGTAATTTTCTTCTTTCAATGTTTTTACTTAACTCTTAATGATGGTATTGCTTCCAATCTAAGTTAATATTATTAAAATTCAATTATTTTCTATTGTTGATAATCATCATATTCTTATTTCAACTAAGCCAAAGTTTGTTGCTCAAAAGTAACTATAGCTTCTTCAATTTCTAGATCTAACTATTTTTTAGTTAATTATTGTGGTTAAAATTTTGTATTTCTTTGTTACTTTCTAAATTTCTTCTACTTCTAAAGTTAGTAATCTTTCATCTATTTATTCTTCAATAGTTCTTTTCACTATTGTCTCCTTTTTCGATTCATTTCTTTTAAGAGTCATCTATTTTGTAATTTAATTTCTCCCATATGAAATCTATGCTTATGGCTGTGATTTTTGAACAACTGCCACTATATTTAGCACCTGTCTTTAATTTTTGTTGTTTAGGCTCATCTTTTATCATTTCTGTAATTAATTCAATTACATCTAAATATATTTCATAGAATGCCAGATCTGCCTTCTAATTCTCCCACAACAGTTTTAATATATCCTTTATAATCTTTATTGGATCCTTTGATATTGTCTCCTTATAATTGATCCATCTTATTAAATAATTTAACAATATTTTTTTTAGGCTTTTCTCTTAATTATATTTTGATTCAAATTTTAATTGGTCAAATTTAGTACATTTCTATAGTTTTATAAAACAGACTTAATAAAAATCAAACTTAATACTCAAGCAATATTTTATGTATAAAGTAGAAGAATAATAATTAACTTAAATTTCAAAATAAATTTTATTGTAAATCAAAATTTGTGTATATATCGAATTAAGTTTTAGAAAAGTCAATCATTTGTATTTCTTTTTTCATTATTACCTTTAGATAATCAAAAAGTTCAAAGAATCTTCTAGATAAATAATATTCAATTGGAAAAAATTTTTAAATTTATACATACTATTTTCAAATTTCTTCAGGTTATACCTCAAAAGAACTATCTTTTGAACATAAAATTTTAGGATGCCCTTTTCTTAAGTGTCCTCCAAGTTATTGATATTTATCATATGTTTTTTTACATACCTTGCATTCATATTTTCTAGTTTTGCCTATCTATATTCTATTATTTCCTCTTCTTGTTTAATGTACTCCATCCTCACCTATTTTATAGAGCATAAAATAAACATTTACCCTTTTCGAAAAAATTAATCATAAGATTTTCCTCATTCATTATTTCTTTTAATTCAATATACTTTTTCTTTTTCCATTAAATCCTCTATATTAAAGCTTAAAACTCTTCTTTAAGTTTTTACACCTTTTCATCATTCTATTCGTTCTAAATATTTTCTAAAATCATCTGAAATAATATTAATTTAGATTTATAAATAATACCTTATTTAGTCATTTTAAGAATGCTAAATCTTGTTATTTATGTAAAAATGATAATTTAATTTTTAATAATAAAAGTCTCGCCTGTATTTTTTTTTGTCTTAATTCTTTTATAGAGAACATTTTGGAATGATCCTAAATAAGATTCGAATCGAAAAATTAGTTTTTTTATTAATATTTTTAATTAAAGTATCGCTTCTTTTAAATAGAAAAATTTCACAAAAAATGATGCAAGTTAACCAGTAGTTATTAAAATTTAATTTACAATAGATAATAGATAAATAATAAAGATTTTCATTAAAATATTTATTATTAAATGGCATAATGTTTTAAATTTAATTAATTTTATAAATCCCTAACTTTTTATTGATAGTCTGGTCTTAGTTCATCTGGAACTATGTGATCAATACCTTATCTATCCTAACCTATTATTATCTTTAATTCTAAATACCACTTAAAACATTATAACCACAATTAGCTCTTGTATCTAAATTTTTTGCCCTTACAAAATTTCGTACTTAATGTAATTCATCATATCGTTTTAATGCTTAACCAGCCTCATTTTATGCATATTCTAAAGTAATAGGATTGTAAGCCAATCCATTAGTATTTCTTTTTCCTTTTGTAAATTATTCAGAATGATATTATCTACGTTATTCATCCTTTTTATAATTTAATAAAGTACTTTAACAATGTATTCTTCATTTCGTTACCATAATATTCCATCTCTTTAGAGATTAGCTAATCTTCTTGATTCATAAGATAATTATTTAAGTTTGTATTGCAATTCTCTTTGTTTTTTATCTTCTGCAGCAAAATCTTTAGCAAATCTATCTCGTTCTATTTTACATTAATAATAATACCTGCCTGAAAAAGTGTTGTATCAGGCATTGCACTATGTAAAAGACTTTTCATATCATCTTTCTATGAATCTAGATTTTATTATATTATATACAATTCTACTGAATTCTGGGACCAGCAGATTTTATATCCATTTCTTTTTGATATTCCTACAATAATTGATTAAAGTACTCTCTCAGCTCTTGTTCTTGGTTATTGATTAATTATCCCATTATTATATACAATTTTAGGTTTTTATGTTGTATAAATGCCTGAACCATAATTCAATGAGGTAGGTTGATATTGTTCAATTGGATTGTAATCTTATTGCTTTGTAAATAACATTAATAATAAATTTATATTAATTATCAATCATACTTTTTTTATGCTAAATAATAAGCTTCGAATGATTCTCCAGGATTCAAATGAATCGATTTATTTTCTTCTGGAAGTTCCATACTTGCTTATTAGAAAGTATCAAAAGATTGTCCTAATTTAGAAGCATTTGAAAATGTTCCTATTATATTAATAAAATAATACCAGGAGATTTATTTGGACTTAATCTAGTTCTTATAGTACCAACTTTTTTATTATTTTTTTTATCTGATTTATTCTTTTATTATTCTAAATTTGAGCATTATTCTTAGAGTTCACTCTTTTAATATTTCAATTCATCTTTTTCAATATTCCATTTTGCTCTTTCTTTTTCATGTTCAAATACCATATTTGATCTTCTAATTTCAGCTTCTTTCAATTTCTCCTCTACTTCACTTAATTTAGCTCTCCAAATTTATCTTTCTTCAGTATGATTTAAATATAACTCTTCAATTTTTGTTTCATATTATAATTTTATTTATTCAATTTAATTTTCATAAAGTGAAGAAATATCACTAAAATCACCTTTACCATTATGATAATTCTAATTTGATACATTATTTAAAGATAATTCTTTTTGTAATTATTCAATCTTCATCGAATATTCATTAATAATTGCTTAATGATGTTCTGTCAGATCTAAAACTTATAATTAATATTTTCTCTCTAAAGTTACTAACATTTCAGAAATTGAATTGCTCTCTTCTTCTAAATCTTATTATCTTGCTTTTTAGAGATGATTTATAGTAAATTCAAACTTTTTCATTGCCTCTTATAAATCTTATTTTGATTGATCTTTTTATTATTATAAGAATTTAAATTTACCTTCCCATAATAATGCATCTCTTTCGTGTAAAGATTTTATTTCCGATATTTCATTTTACAATTTTTCATTCTCTTGTTTTAATTAAGTGACAACTTAATTGTTTGATTGAATAATATTTTATTAAACAGGTATATTAGCACTTTTTTTCCTTTAATTATTTTATTCATCTTCTAACTAAATTTTCAATTATTCTATTTATTATTATAACTCAACAACATTTTTATTATTATTTATCTCTTATTCCTTATATTATTATCTTAGTTTTTCATATTTTTATTATTATTCTTTTAGATCAGTTTCAAGAGTTAACTAAGAAACATTGCTTTCAATCTTAATTAATTATGTAAAATTCTTAGATTCATAATTTTGTACCTGAGCTTATAATTATTCTAATTTATGTAAATTAAATTCATTTTCTTAAGTTATTAATGCTAATTATTTTTCATATTCAACTTTTATCTTAATATTTTCATCTTGGGCATCATCTAATTATTTTCTCAATTCAATTATTTATTCAGTAAGTTTCTGTTTTTCTTATGTATTATTCTATTTAATTTTTTCAATTTAGTCTTATTTATTATTATTAAGTGATTCATATTATCCTTATTATTTTAAAATACCAAGTTCTTCTTCCTTAACTTAATTTAATTAATGTAAATCCTATATTTACTTTTATAAATTCAATTAATCATCCTAAAATTATTAAATTGATATTTTCAAAGAACTATTTACCTATTCCAAAGTTAAAATCTATTTTTATTTTAAATCATTTTCATTTTACCAATGGAATTATAATTATTACAATTACAAATCATTTTATTTCAATTTTTTTTAAAGCTTCTGAATTTCTTCATCTTAATTATTATCAAATTAATTTTCAAGTTCTTCCACCATTTAATTATATTTCTATTCCATAATCTTTCTATCTTCCATAAACTTTTATTCAATCTTTTGTTTTTCTAAATCATACATTTACCTTAATTATGAAATTTATTCTTCATTTTTATTTTATAATAATCTATACTCATTCATATTCTATTTTTTCAACTCCTCAATTTCTTATTAATGATTTTTTGTTTTTAAAATCAACTTTTCCTCTAATTCTCTTTAAATTCTTGTCTTTTATTATTCTAATAACAAACATTCTCTATTCAATCTTTAAATATTATCTTCATAACTAAGTATCTAATTCTTGGCTTATTATATTTCTCTTGTAAAATCATTTTATTAATATAATAATTAGCTCTCANTTCATCTTCTAACTAAATTTTCAATTATTCTATTTATTATTATAACTCAACAACATTTTTATTATTATTTATCTCTTATTCCTTATATTATTATCTTAGTTTTTCATATTTTTATTATTATTCTTTTAGATCAGTTTCAAGAGTTAACTAAGAAACATTGCTTTCAATCTTAATTAATTATGTAAAATTCTTAGATTCATAATTTTGTACCTGAGCTTATAATTATTCTAATTTATGTAAATTAAATTCATTTTCTTAAGTTATTAATGCTAATTATTTTTCATATTCAACTTTTATCTTAATATTTTCATCTTGGGCATCATCTAATTATTTTCTCAATTCAATTATTTATTCAGTAAGTTTCTGTTTTTCTTATGTATTATTCTATTTAATTTTTTCAATTTAGTCTTATTTATTATTATTAAGTGATTCATATTATCCTTATTATTTTAAAATACCAAGTTCTTCTTCCTTAACTTAATTTAATTAATGTAAATCCTATATTTACTTTTATAAATTCAATTAATCATCCTAAAATTATTAAATTGATATTTTCAAAGAACTATTTACCTATTCCAAAGTTAAAATCTATTTTTATTTTAAATCATTTTCATTTTACCAATGGAATTATAATTATTACAATTACAAATCATTTTATTTCAATTTTTTTTAAAGCTTCTGAATTTCTTCATCTTAATTATTATCAAATTAATTTTCAAGTTCTTCCACCATTTAATTATATTTCTATTCCATAATCTTTCTATCTTCCATAAACTTTTATTCAATCTTTTGTTTTTCTAAATCATACATTTACCTTAATTATGAAATTTATTCTTCATTTTTATTTTATAATAATCTATACTCATTCATATTCTATTTTTTCAACTCCTCAATTTCTTATTAATGATTTTTTGTTTTTAAAATCAACTTTTCCTCTAATTCTCTTTAAATTCTTGTCTTTTATTATTCTAATAACAAACATTCTCTATTCAATCTTTAAATATTATCTTCATAACTAAGTATCTAATTCTTGGCTTATTATATTTCTCTTGTAAAATCATTTTATTAATATAATAATTAGCTCTCATTTTTATTTAATTCTGAATTTAAATATTCTATCTATTATTACATTTTTCTTCTTTAAATTTCAAACTCTTATTCTAATTATTTCATTTCATTTATATGCATATCTTTCATTTCCATATATTATTTTGAAAATACTTAACTTTTATTCACATCATTTTAACTCTCAAATAAACTTAATGTTTATTCATGATTCTTCTTCTCAAGTTTCAATTATTCAGAAAAGTCTTTAAGTTAAATTTCTAAGAATTATTTCTCTTATGCTATTAACGCTTATTCTCTTTCTAAATTTGATTTTAATAGTATCAATTAAGATGTCTTTTCCTTTATTTATGTTTCTTAGGATTCTATAATCTCTTTTAATCTAGCTATTTATTTTTCATTTTCTTCAGTGTTTGAATTATCAATTTAAGGCAATTACACAACAGAATTCTTAAGTAGTTAGATTTATTATTAATATTCATATATCTTATTTTCTTTACTCTACAATTTAAATTGAGCTTAAGTATTTTATTATTCAAGAGTATTTAATTAGTCTTAAAGTTATTATGTTTTATCAGTTTATGCTAAAAGTCTTTCTTATAATTAAGTGATCATTTACTCATATTTTGATTAAACATCTCTAATTTAAATTGTATATTCTGACTTAGTTGATAGAAATGAAGAATCCATTTATGTTTCTTTTCGCTAACTCTATTCTAACTATTTTGATAGATGTTAAATTTTTTATTCATTTAATGCTTTCATTTTATTGAATTCAGATTCTTTAAGATAAAGATTTCTTTCAAATTATTTGAATTATTATTAGTGTAATTCTTTCTATTTAATTAATTCAGTTTGAAGAATCTCTAATTATTTCTCTGAAGAAAATAATTATTCTTCAAATAATTTGATTTGTGATTATTGAGAATAAATTTTATTTTCTTATTCTTTTACTTTACAAATAAGTTCATTAATAGTTTTATCTTTTTCTGTAGTGATATTTTCATTTTTTATAGAGAGAGGTTATTATTATTATTATTATTATTGTTGTTGTAAATTTTATTATTTGATAAACATGTTAGTTCCTTCTGTCATCATTTTATTATAAAATTCTTAATAAATTTATTACTTTAAAACAGTTTTAGGTCCATGTTCTAATAAGAATTAATAAAATAGTTTAATATCTCTTTCAAATTCTAAAATACTACGATATTCTGATAATCGTTTTTATAATGTTTAAAATTCTTAAGTAATAAATTAATTGCATAAATTAGTTGCTTCTTATTCATTTCTTTTACATATTTCTTTAAATGTTTCTTTACACATTTAATGTAAATCATCATTTAAGTCTTTATCATTAATTTTAGATTTTAAATATTCTAAAGCTTTAAGTTCAGAATCTTTATGATGATTTTTTAATTCTTCAAATGAACAAGTCGGTAATTTGAGTTAATTCATTTAGATTTCATATCTTTTAAATGCTTCATTGAGTAAAACTGTAGATTATTTGTCAACAATGGTTTCTGTGACTTATCTTAAATCTACAGGTTGATTATTATTAAATTTAGCTACAACCATTTAAATCATATCAACTAAAAGTGGACCATTAAGATAAATATTTTAATAGATTTTTTTAGGTTTTGCATAGTTAAGAACTTTTCTACGTAATAAAGCCATTGAATCTATAAACTCTATACTTTCACTAGAAGATGGAATAGTAACGCAATCTGAGAAAAGTTTAAGTAAATGTTTTTTAACTCTATTTTATGATTTGAATTATCTTTCAAGTAATTCTTTAGGTTGAAGTTATTCTTTATTTTAAATATCTCTTAAAACCCATATAAAAGGTGGAAGAAAGTCTTCATAATCTTCAAGATTAATCATGAGTTCAAAATCTTCAACTGAATAACCTAAGAAATAAATCATGAAATTACCGCAATAGATTACAACACTAGATAAAAGAGAAGCTAGTAATATAATTTGAATGTCTTTTCTTTAATCTCCACAACCTAATCCTTCTGTATCAATAATCAATTAACCATCATATGTATAATAGAACCCCTTAAGTTTATTATGATTAATACTTTAGTACTAGATTGAAAACCTTGACCTTGCATAAACAATTTATTTAGCAACCAACTTTTTCCAGATTTTTAAGATCCAATAATGCAGATTATATTTAGATTGGTTTGAATTGATTACAATTTTTAACATGCCAATTTGTTAAGAATGATCTCTAAAGTGTTGTTGAATCCATCAAAACTTAATAGTTAATAAATATCCATGAAGTTGAGATAATATTTGAATTTAAATTAATTATCAGACAAACAATTTTTGAATAATATTAGTTGAACATATTCATTAATATTATTATTCATAATCATTTTATTTGTTTCCACTTTAATTCATATTCTAAAAATGACCATTCAAATAATCTAAATAAATATTATTTATATATACTCCATAACTATTCTGAATTAGAACTTCCTCCTAATAAGTTGATTAATTCTTGCTTTGAGGATTTCTATTGTTATTATAATAAATAATCATACTTTAATATTATCGAGAATTGTACGATATTTTTTCTTATATACAAATCCCATATTTGAATCACATGATCTAATCCTACTTTCAATATCCTCACTGATTCTTTTTGGAATACTTTAATCAGTATATTCAGATATTGTCTCAGATATTTTTTAAACTACTCTGTTTTTTTATAAAGGATTTGGAATATCTTAACTTTATTTTCTTGCTTTTTTAGGTGATTAAATTTAAGTATATTTTTTTCTAATTATTGGTTTAGCTATAGGAATTTATCTTTAATATTTTCCCTTTTTCTCTGATTCCTCACTTGATTCTTCTTCTTCACTCTCACCATCACTCTCTTCTGAATCAGATTCATCACTATCATCTTCAGCTATTAAAATTTAATTATAAAATTACAATCTAAAATAAAGTTTGGTTAATTTTATAATTTTTCTAACAATTTTTAGGTGATCTTCTTCTAACCTGAAACTTAATGAAGTTACTGGATGATTTCGGTTGGGTCAAAATACTGTAAAAACCTAGATTTTTCATTTCTGCATTACCGTTCTCAATACAATTGATTTCAATTTCTCAAGTAGCTATGTAAAATCTAGTTATGCTCTAGATAGATTCTTTTTATCAGTTAATCTTGCCTATATTTACATTAATGATTTTCCATTCGGTCCTTATAAAATTTCCATTATATCTGGTCTATCTAATTCAACTATTTATAATAGCTATTATTATTATAATATTTATTATACACTTGATATTTTAGTTTCAATTTAAAGAGGATTCAATTTAGTTTCAGTTATTAATTTCAATAATTCTTAAATCTCTTAACTAAAATTATCAGGTTTAGTGATATCCTCTGAATCCATCTTTGATTTTCTAGATGATCCATATATACCACTATGTTCTTCACTTGATGATGATCTTGTTCTCTTTCGTTTATTCTTCTTCTTTGATATTTTTTTTGATTCATCTTATACATCAGAATTTAAATACTTTCATATGATGATTATCCCTTCAAAATTTAATCTGCTGCATTTACTGAATCTTTATGTTACTTTGTTTTAATTTTAGGTACTATCTCATCATACTTCTCCTAGTATTTGGCAAGACTTTAAAAAGGTAATGTGGAACTTCTATTCAAAGGTTAATCATACTGTGAGTTATCTCCTATGAAATTAACAAGATATTTTGTAGGTTCTGATGACTATTTATCTTTTATCACTTCAGCTATGATCCCAGGCCACCAAGGGTCTAAAATTATTTATACCACTTACATCCTCTTATTTTTGCCCATACTATCTCATCTTTATTATAACTCTCAGGTACGTCAGATTCCATTTTGTATTATGATTTTAAATATTTATATATTAATATATATATTATAATATTTCATAAATTAATCAAGCTTAATAATGCATTCTAACAACTCTTGCTTATTCCTAGATTATTGAATTATTATATACCTTAATTTAATTAATCAAATCGATATTGGGAGGACTTGCTAATTGTGATATCTACTATTAATAATTTATATTTAAAAGATTCTATAATCTTTAATCATTTTTCTATTAAAATGAAATTTGAGGCAATGCACTGCTAATTTAAACTAAATCTAATGGATTCTATTGTTGTTGAGATTATCCACCCATATAGATTTTTGAAGTTCTTCTATCTATATTATTTTATTTATCTCTATCATACCTTAGGTTGCCAACATATCAGTTCCATGTACTTCTTAAATACTTGATTATGCTATTAATTTATTTTACAAATATCCAGCTATCATTATTAATTATCTCAATATATTTTTATTATTATAACAAATAATTAAACATTCAAAATAAATTTTGAGTGAATGTACTATTACTGCTCTATTATCCTTATTAGACTTAATCATTTTGCTCTGTTTACATACCATTCTATTATTATTGAATCATAGACTCAAACATAAACTATTAATTTGTTGGAAGAACATAAAGTTATGTTAATTATCCTTCCCAATCTATTGGGAATTTTGTAATTCTTGGATTACTTCCCATTATTTATCGATAAACTCTATCAATTAACACATTTTATGGTTCGTTTTCAATCAACTCTGCCTCTGTATAGTTATTATAAACATAATAACCAACCCTAAAAAATTCCTTTTACCTATATTTGGCGGTCAATATCAAAGCGGATACACTAAATAAATCTTCCTTTGATGGAATTAGTTAGTAATTTGGAGGTTAACTCGTTATTGTAAACTACATTACTCCTCTTTACAATGGACCCATACTAAAATTGTCTAAAACTTAATCAAATTTTTCACTCAAAGGAGATCCAATATAAATTAAACTAAATTTATTTTAATTTCTTACTTCCATTCTATTTCATCACTTAAATCATTTAGAACTTCAAAAGTTATTTACAAAGATATTGGAGCTTAGAATAAAGCCAATTCATTTTCAAAGATAATGTTTGTTACTTCAACAAGCGCCATTTTCAATTTAAATATATTATATTAATAATAAAAAAGGAATATAATAATTGTTCATTCTTATGCTTCATTAAAAATTACTAATCACTTTTTTAACTATATTGAAATTATTTCAAGAATTTCATATCATCTTTTAAAATTTTTTATTTATTTATTAATACTTCTTAAAAACTCTTATTTTTATCCCATATTACTCAAGAATTTATTCTTTTTTCTTATTGTATTTTTATGGAATGATATTATTTAAATTTTTAAACTAAATTTCTACTTCCTATAAATCTTTCATTATTTGATAAGCCTTTACTTTATTAGATCTAGATTATCTTTTTAAATCTAGAAGCATTTTATAGTTTAAAGTATTTTAATTTAAAGCATTTTTATCTGTTAATTCTAAATTCTGTTTTTTATTCGCAAATTAATAATTTTTTAATTATTTTCTAATACATTATATAAATTTAATTTAAAGTATTTTCAAAGTTTGTTTCGAGCTACGAAAATAATAATAATAATATTTTACAATTTATGAACAATCTCTCAAGTCAGATTTTACATTATTTTCCTTCCTTCCAAATAATTATTGCCCAACTCCTTAAAAAACAACAAAATTTTAATGAGAAATGGTTATTTTAAATCTGGTATTTTGCAAAGATCTTTATTTAATCAATAATGTAATAATATTCTGTATCAAAGAAGTACATAATATTATAAAATACAGTTAATTAAAATCAAAATTTGAGTCAGGATTATAACTTAAGATTATTTTCTTTAGTATCCATATCTTTTTACAATAAAGTAATAAAGGTTTCTAATTTCTTTTTTTAGAGACCTTCTAAGTTTTAAAGATATTACTAAGCTATTTTTATTCTAAAGGTTTGATTATATTATCCATTTTTAATTGCTGTTTTTTCTTTATTTAGGAAAGCTTCAAAATCAACATTTTAATTTTTAAAATCCTTTTCTAATGATTCTATTAAATCAAGTAATTATAAAATGATATCAGAATTTTATTTTAATTTGCATGTGTTGTTTTTTAATAATATTTCAACACCATTTCGTTTTTTACTTGGAAATGCCTATTTGATAAGATTACCATTAGTAGGTTAAGGTAGTTATATTTTACTTTTATGATTGATTTCAGTTAAATTAGGTTTAATATTTTCAAATTATGATTTTGTTCTTCTTAATATTTCTTAATATTTAGGAAGAAAATACATTCCAACTTTATTGTTTTCTTCTCCTTCAGTAGATTATTGACTAGAATAAGCAGGTTGTGGTTCTTATTTTAATTCTATTTTAATTTCGCTTTTTTATTCTTGTAATTTATTTTGAATATTCTTTCCTGAACAACTTCTTTCTCTAATATTTGGAAGTGTTGATTTGTCATTATATAATATCTATCTGTGAGTTGAAAATTTTGGACTCTAGATTTCATTCATTCCTTAGTCTAATGTTATTTTCATTTATGGTTTTATTAATGGATGAAGAAAAACATCATTCCAACTGAATCTTTAAAATTCATCTTTATGTAAACATCCTTAAATAAAACTCATAGACTCTTTAGAAATCTTATTATTTTTAGGGAAAGTTAACTTACAATTATTAATTCTATAGATTAACTCCATGTAATTTGTGGCTATCCAAGGAAGAGTACCAAATAACATTTCATAAAATATTAATCCTAGTGACCAAATATCACATTTTGAAGTGTATTATTATTTTGTTAAAATTTACGGTGCCATATAAAGAGGTGTACCAACTAAGGATTCCATTACACATTCTGATGGTAATGGTCTTGAAAACCCAAAATCTGCTATTTTGCATTATTCATCATGAATTAAAATATTTGCAGGTTTAAGATCTCTATGAATAAAATTGTTGCTGACTATTTATTTTAGTCCATTAGCTATTTGTTTTATCATCTTAATAGCTTGCTCTTCTTCTAAAATCTTTTTTTCAGCCATATACTATTTTAAATCTGGTCCATTACAATATTCTTAAACCAAATAAGTGTTATTTGATGTCGAATATACTTCATATAACTCAACTATATTTGGATGCTTTAACTTTTTCATAATTTCTATTTCTTAATGAAGGGAGGAGTATAATTAACCAAAATTTTGAGTTTTCGAATGATCAATTACTTTAAGAGCAACTGGTAGTTCTAATTTATATTATATTATAATTTACAACTATTAATTTCTCTTCCAAAATAAACAGTTCCCTAAGAACCTTTACCTAAAATTGCTTTGAGACTGAAACCATAATTGGATATCTTTTTTTCTGGCTTCATATTCATTATTTCTTGTCTGTTCATTAATTTTATTAATTAGGTAGCTATAAAGTCTTATGAAAATTCGATTTGTGTAATTACTCAAATTTGAGTTCAAAATTTTATAATAATTAACTCTATTTATTTTTATATTTTATTATAACTACAACATATATAGTACTTTTAAAACTATAAAAAAATATTACTTATGGCAACTTATCTACAATATTCTTTTTTGTTTTACTTCCAATACTAGTTTTTTAAGAAAGAGATATGGTATAAATAAAGAAAAGAATAATTATCAAAAAGATGCTAAAAATAGACTCCATTGTTAGATGAACTTTTTGATATTAAAAAGTAGATAAATAAAACCTATTGTTAGTCTAAATTGTAAATAACTAAAGGGAGATTAAAAAATGATTGAACATAGAAAATAAAATAATCTTAATTTAAAGTATATTAATTATTAACAAAAGAAAGAAAATTAATCAATATGTTGTAAGCTAACATTCCTCTAACTACATAGAATCTCCTTTTTTAATAGAGATTACTTTACAATAACCTACATCATCTGTTTATTAACTAAAATATTCTAAAATTGTTTTAAGAGGTCTTTGATGAGTTACTAAAATTATGCATTAATCATCTTCTATTTTTTCGAGCAATTTCTAGACATAATTTAGAATTCTAAGATTCACATCTTCTAGAGTTTCTGGATAAAAGTTTTATTCATTTTATTTATCAATTAAAGATATTCCAGAAAAATAAGTAAGATTTGGATTTTTATTAATAATTAATCTAGGTAATGGATTGCTTGAAAAGAAATTAGAATATAAAGTTTCACAAATTTCTGTGTACAGAGATATTTCATCTTTTTTTATTTGCTGAGCAATATTTTTTGCAGTCATAATGCATCTTAAAAAAGGTGATGATTAGATTTCAATCTTTCTGTATTCTTCTATTACTTTAAGAATTTATTTTCCTGCCAATTAGGCTTATTCACAGCCTTTTGGAGTAAGGTGAGGATCATGTGGATTTTAAACATTCTTACTTTCAATTAGACAATTGTCTGCTCTTTCTCCATGTCGAACTAAAACTATCATTATATTATTTTTTATTTTTATTATTTCAATTAAAATTCTAAAAAAAATTGTTAAAAATTATTTAATTACTGATATAAATCTAATAATTATAATTATTCGATTTTATTTAATACTTATAAACAATAGGTTCTATGAGCAAACTGTCATAATTAAATTAATATTTAAATAACAATAATACAATAATAGGAGATTTCATTAATAATTTTACTTTTGAGTAATTGTTATTTGAAAATAATTTATAGCTCTTTCAAACTCTTTAATATTTATCACATATATAAATTATAAATAATTATCATTAATCGATCAATAACTATTGTATTTAATTAGTATAATCAAATAGTTTTTAGGTCAAATATTCAATTTTTTAATATGTTCAGAATCATATTTCAAAATTAAGATATCAATTAAAAAAGAGATTTTTTAATTGTAAAAAGTGTGGTCTAGAAAATCATAATTTCATTTACCATTATAATATGATTAATTGTTATATTTCACAACTGCCTTGATATAAATATTTAATTTTAACTTTTAAATTATTTTGCATTTGAAACATTTAAATTTAGAATTCGACAGTTCATATTGATTTATTAATGGAATGAAATTCTTGAAAATAATAATTAATTTTAGTAATTGTTGTTGATATTANATAGAGATTACTTTACAATAACCTACATCATCTGTTTATTAACTAAAATATTCTAAAATTGTTTTAAGAGGTCTTTGATGAGTTACTAAAATTATGCATTAATCATCTTCTATTTTTTCGAGCAATTTCTAGACATAATTTAGAATTCTAAGATTCACATCTTCTAGAGTTTCTGGATAAAAGTTTTATTCATTTTATTTATCAATTAAAGATATTCCAGAAAAATAAGTAAGATTTGGATTTTTATTAATAATTAATCTAGGTAATGGATTGCTTGAAAAGAAATTAGAATATAAAGTTTCACAAATTTCTGTGTACAGAGATATTTCATCTTTTTTTATTTGCTGAGCAATATTTTTTGCAGTCATAATGCATCTTAAAAAAGGTGATGATTAGATTTCAATCTTTCTGTATTCTTCTATTACTTTAAGAATTTATTTTCCTGCCAATTAGGCTTATTCACAGCCTTTTGGAGTAAGGTGAGGATCATGTGGATTTTAAACATTCTTACTTTCAATTAGACAATTGTCTGCTCTTTCTCCATGTCGAACTAAAACTATCATTATATTATTTTTTATTTTTATTATTTCAATTAAAATTCTAAAAAAAATTGTTAAAAATTATTTAATTACTGATATAAATCTAATAATTATAATTATTCGATTTTATTTAATACTTATAAACAATAGGTTCTATGAGCAAACTGTCATAATTAAATTAATATTTAAATAACAATAATACAATAATAGGAGATTTCATTAATAATTTTACTTTTGAGTAATTGTTATTTGAAAATAATTTATAGCTCTTTCAAACTCTTTAATATTTATCACATATATAAATTATAAATAATTATCATTAATCGATCAATAACTATTGTATTTAATTAGTATAATCAAATAGTTTTTAGGTCAAATATTCAATTTTTTAATATGTTCAGAATCATATTTCAAAATTAAGATATCAATTAAAAAAGAGATTTTTTAATTGTAAAAAGTGTGGTCTAGAAAATCATAATTTCATTTACCATTATAATATGATTAATTGTTATATTTCACAACTGCCTTGATATAAATATTTAATTTTAACTTTTAAATTATTTTGCATTTGAAACATTTAAATTTAGAATTCGACAGTTCATATTGATTTATTAATGGAATGAAATTCTTGAAAATAATAATTAATTTTAGTAATTGTTGTTGATATTATTTATAGATATTCTATTATTATTCTTAAATTTCTTATATATCATCCATAATGATAATTATATCTTTTAGATAACTAAGTTTGAAATGGAATAGAGAAATATTATTAAAATGAAAAGTAATTTAGGATTAATATAAGAATAGTAATTTTAATGAAAAAAGGGTTGTAAAATTGATTATAATTTATAGAGTAATTGATAATTTCTTTAACAGTTTTATGAGATTGATATAATATATAGGAATGAATAGAAATATAATATATAAATTCTTGTATAATATTTAATGGATAAGATGATTTGATATTTAATTAATAATATATAAAAATAGCAAATATTTAGAAGAATCATATTTAGATATGAGTGAGATTGGGAATTATTTAATAGGTAGTGGAACCATAAATATTTTGTAATAGGGAAGACAATAGGATAAGGGACTTTTAGTAAGGTTTGCCAAGCAATAAATCAAGTGATAGGTCATGAAGCAGCAGTAAAGGTTCTTGAGAAGAAATGTATAAATTAAGAAGGAGACATAGAGAGAGTAAAGAGAGAAATTCAAATATTGAAATTGCTTCATCATCCTTAGATTGTGAAACTTTACGAGGTTAAAATTTAGCATAGAATAATGCATAGGTAATCGAGACAGAAAACCATATCTATTTATTCATGGAGTATGCGAATGGTGGAGAACTGTTTGATTATATTGATAGAGTGAAATAGTAAGATAATTAATTTGAAATGAGTAGAGTAACAGAATCCGAAGCATGCAAATTCTTTCATTAGATCATTTCTGGATTAGAATATATGCATAATTAAAAAGTGATTCATCGAGATTTGAAACCTGAAAACTTATTATTGACTAGCGACAGAGATATTTTAATTGCTGATTTCGGATTAAGCAACCTTTAAAAAGATATATTAAAGACATGTTGTGGTAGTCCTTGTTACGCAGCTCCAGAAATGATACAAGGAGAACCTTATAATGGACAATTGACAGATATTTGGAGTTGTGGCATTATTTTGTTTGCTATGATTTGTGGTTATTTACCATTTGATGATATAAATACTTAAAACCTATATTAGAAGATTATTAATGCAGAGTACACATTTCCTAAACATATATCTATTGATGCCAAGGATCTTATTAAAAGAATTTTAGTTGTTAATCCATTAAAAAGATATTCTATACAATAAATCAAAAGACATAAATGGTGGCAATTATGGAAAAGAGATGTCTAATATTTCGATATCATTAGAATCCGTCTATGTCAGCATTCAAATCCAGATGTATAACCATACCTTGTTATTTTCTACCAAACAGTGTTTACAATCAAGACATACCAAATCTACCTAAAAATTCACCAAGAAATGCTAAATCACCTGTTGCCAAATCTCCACCTACTAAGTCACCTAATACTAAATCAACAACATCTAAGTTATCTAATAGTACTACTTATAAATAGGTCTATGATTAAATTAAAATGAGATAAACACCATCAAAATCATTACATGAATCTTCTAATAATAATCATTCTACAAAAACTCATAATATTAATAATACTAATAATAAATATAATATATTTACTAAACCTAATAATAATTATGCTTTTTCTAATAAACATAAAAAATAACCTTCAGCATAATAATACTCTACTCTCATGAAATAAACATAATTCTCAAAAGTTGTTCAAAGTATACATGAAAGTAAAAAACTTAAAATATTTTAAAATACTACCACTCCTCTTAAAACACCTACTAAACACTTTTATTCTCATATTCGAAATGTTAGTGATTTGGATAAAATTAAATTTTAAACTACCCTTAAAATTGATGAATCTTTATCCACTCAAAATATTCTATAAAGATTTACATCAGGATTAAACAGTTTAAGAAATTCACCGAGATAACCTATTAATATAAGAGGAATAGAGTAACACACTGGTCCTTATAATTTAGCTTTCATAACTAAAAAACATCCTTAATTATTTATGAATATCATACATAATTATTTGAAAATTCACTTCACTATAATCTTTTACGAGAATTATTCAATAACATTGAAACTAAATAATGATTAATTGATTGAAATAAGATTAAAAAGAATTGAATAGGTAGATGTATATTATCTAGATATCATCTCGTAAAACTAAAACTTTCCTGAACTACATTAATTTGTAAAAGAACTCTAATTGAATATTAAATTTTGAAAATTACAACTACGATAAAATTATAATGACATAATTTTTTAGATATTTTATTTATATACTATCAAAAAAAGAATATTCTATAATATAAATAAAATCTTCTCTTTTTTATTAGCGATCTTATAATTAACTCTTAATTCATAGGAATATATTTTTAATCTTTATAAATTTGCTTTAATTTATTTAATTTAAACATTATGTTTAAAATTACATAGACTTAAATTTTAGAATGGGTAAAAGATGGCAACGCTGAAACCCTTAGCACATTCTTTGAGTCAAGTCTCCAACATAATTAAATAGGATTGAACTCATTTTTCAAGATGGTTGACCAAGAAAAGCGAAATGTAGTTCATTGGGCTGCATATTTAGGATAATTTGCATTATTAGAAAAATGGCTATAATAAAATTCATAATTTATTGATTTAAATCAAGTCGATTTACATCATTATACAGCGATTGAACTAGCTAGCATAAAAGGGTAAGTAATATTATTTCTATGAAAAGTTTTATGAAGGAATATAATTCTTAACTTTAGTTTAAGTTAATAAAGTTGCTTGTTGATCATTAAGCTAAAATGCCTATAGAAAACAAGTATAAAAGAGCCAATCCATTACATTGGGCATATTATTATGGAAATGAAAACTTAATTGAATTCCTCCTATGTAATTACCCAGATTTGCAATATTAATTAGACTAATTTGAAATGTATCCAATTGATTATTTATTTTTGGAAAATCGACCAGAAGAATATTAGTAATTTTTATTCATAATTTTTATAGGAAAAACTACAAAAAAATATTTGCAAATACTGTTTAAGAATATGCTCTTTAAAACAATGGTTATGAATTTAGAAGTATTAGAAATTTAAATACGCAAAGAACAATTGCATAAAGATCCTAATCTTTAAAATCTAATCATTTAGATAATCGTATTACAATCACTGATTTAAATTAACCTCAATTAAAAGAACCAGCTAATGAATTAGATAGTGTTGATTAAGAAAAAATTAATTAACATTTATAATGTGGATAAACAGCTATGACATTAATGTCTAAAATGTAATAAACTGGTACATGTTAATAAAAAAGAGATTCTATTAGTTCCAGAATCAGTTAATAATTTAAATTAATTTAAGAGAGAATGAAGAAATTACCGAATAAGAATGTTTAAAATGAATTACCATTTGAAGACTCTTAATAAGATTTACATGAACCAGAGGCTGAGAAGATTCCTTCTCTAAAAATTCTATAACCAAGAAATACAATTTTTACAAATCCTAATTGTAATATAACTGAAAATATTGATAATCCTTGCACTTCTAAAAATGAATTAGAAAGTGAAAGAAATCAGTAGAAAGTATTTTTGTAATAAGATGAAGAATTTGGTAGATTATTTAAAACTAATAATATACCTTCTCGATCTGAATAATCAAAGTATTTACCATCTCAATATTAATAATCATAAGCCCCATCTTAATTTGGAAGATAATTATCTTAAGATATTCAAATCTCATAAGATGATTTTAGACCTTCAATTAAAGATTTTTCAAGAATTAAATAAATGCGACCTTCATTAAAAAAACCTGGTTAAAAGTTATTAAAGAGAAAAAGTACAATTTTAAAAGAAACATATACAGTTTTTCATTATGCAAAAAGTTAAACAAAAAAATAATTATTTCAATGTAGATTACAATTTTGGTCAGCAAGAATAGAAGCAACAGAATTCTTTTAATATTTTTTAAAATAGAAGTGCAATCCATTTCTAATTTAATATTAAGGATTTAATTGTTTGCATATAGCTGCTCATAAAGGAAAATATAAAATTCTTAAATTAATCTTAGAAGCTGATTATGAATATTAAGAATTTAAAGATCTTTAATAATTACATCGTTCAATAAATGTTGTATAATTTACAAAAACATTAATAAAAAAAAACATTTTTGATAAGGTAATTGTCAATTAAATCATTCTAGCTAGAAGCTTTTAACTTGATGACATAGTAGAATCCTTCTAATGCATTGCATTTATCAACTGAAATTAATAATCTTGATTGTATTTAAATATTATTAGAGAATGGTGTTTCAAAAAATGAATTAAATTATAGATGTTTGATGCCAATGGAATTAACATTCGATGAACAAATGGTTAATTTTTATGAAAATAAAGGGAAAGAACAAAGCTTTAATTTGATGGGTTTCATATATGTAATTTAGACATCTGGAAATCAAGATCTATGTTAAGATATTGTATTATTGTAATTATAAAATATCAGAGAGACATTTGAATAACGTAATATGGAATTTGAATTTTTTATAATAAATACACCAAATTATAGATATTTACAAGATGGAAGAGAACATTGTGTGAAACATCGTTATTATATAATAAAGTTATCATAAGATACAATTTACAAGTTGGCAGATAACTATTAGATTGAATGCTATCATTTTACAAAGAAAGTATCATTCAATTTAACTGAAATAGCATTTGACAAAATTTTAATATAGTGACTAAGGGCATTATGAATTTCCTAAACCATTACAATTATAACAACTTATAATAAATGTTTTAAATGAAGAGTTTGATTTGGATAAGTTTGTTTTAGAAGGTTTAGTAGTTTCCCATTTCCCATTAGAAGATATTAAGAAATCTCAATAAGTAAATTAATAATGGAAGAAACTTCAATATGGTTGCATTAGAGATACTATTAGAATAAAGACACATTAGATAGCACTTGCACCGTTAAATTTAATAGCATCATATTATGGACCTGTAATTGCATGGTACATAGCATTTAATGTTTAAATAGTTGGATGGCTAATAATACCTGCTTTGGTAGGATCAACGATTTAATTATATTAATTAATAGCTGAATAAATACAGTAAAATATAAAACATATATTAAAAGCGCTTCAATTTTACCTTCTTATGCTTTATTTATGTCTCTTTGGGCTACCTTATTTATGGAGAAGTGGAAGAATAGAGAATCAGAACTCAAATACCTTTGGGATATGCATAAGTTTAAACAATAAGAACCATAGAGAGTCATGTATACAGGACTATATCATGTTGAAAAGTGTACAAGAAAAGTAGAAGTGTACGATTCTTTTACAACTTTTAAGAGAAGATTGATTGCTGAGTTTCCTATAATTTTATTAGGATTTACAATAATATTGGTGAGCTTTCTGGCATTTAATTAATGGTAATAATAATAAGATCCTTAAAATGTGTATATGCCTATAATAATAAATTCATTAAATGGAGTTAGTATGACTGTTTTATGTGATTTATATAAAAGACTATGTAAATTTGTGGTAAATTGGGAGAATCATAGATTTAGTTCAGAAATGTAGCATTCTTATGTTTTAAAAGTATTTTTATTTGAATTTTTGATATCTTATATTTCAGTAGTGTATGCTGTTTTATTTAAGACAGATTAGACATAATTAACATTGTCTATAGCGAGCATCATTATTACAAGAGGTTTGATTTCTAATTTATAAAGTAATTGTTTACCATTTTTAATATATAAATATTTAAAATGGGGAATGCAAGGTTAATTTAATGCATTTAAGGCTTTAAAACAATAATTCAAGATTTGTGATATGTAGTATGTAAGAGAGAAATTAGATCCAGATAAATAACTTGAATTATTACAGATGATGGAAGATAGTAATAATAAGTAGCCATAGAAGGATTTGTATGAGGAGTATACAAATATAGCAATATAATTTGGATACACAACAATGTTTTCACCTGCATTTGCTGCTGCTCCTTTATTTTTTTTGTTGTATCAATTTATTAATTTGTAATTTTCGATTTCAAATTATTAAGAAGTTTTAAAAAGAGAAGTAAGATATTAAAATACTAAAGAGAGCATAAGCAGCAGACTCGATTGGTATTTGGTTGTCAATATTTGAAATAATGAATTATTGTTCTACATTTATGAATTGTTTAGTGATAGGGATAGTAAATAAAGCAGAGTTTTAAGGATTAATAGGGGATAGTAATCCTTTAATATAAGTATTAGTATTAGCAGCAATTGAACATATATTATTATTAATAAAATACATATTAGGAATAATGATACCAGACTGTCCATATTGGGTATCAAAAGAATTAAGAAAGTATGCATATTTTGAGGGATAAAGTGCAAAAGAGTGTTTAGATATTGAAGAATCTATTGCAAAATAAGCATAGATTGATGATGATAGATAGATTATTATTTGATTTAATTAATTAATTAATTAATAAATTTGTATAAAATGAAAAGAAGAAGTTTAGTAGTATCTAGTTTATCAGGATCTCCAAAACGTTAGCTATCTTAAATGAGTATACATGGTATAAAATAAAATATAATTAAAGATTTTCCGAATTTGGAATTGTTATCTTAGAATTATGAAGATGAGTAATTAGGATATATGTTAACTGAAAGTGTTATAGTGAGTAGATTTATTTGTAGATAAATAATTTAAAAGGCAAGTAATATAATATAAGAGAATTACATAATGAATGAATTGATACCTTTTGGATGTAAATGGACAGAATAATATATTAATATGATTATATCAGATATAACAGAAGACATGAATTTGTTAGATTCTAATGAAGATGAAATAGAACCTAAACCATGTCCAATAGAACATTGGAGAAGAATGATTGGTTAAGTTTTAAGTCCTAAAACAATACTAATTGAAAATAGGTCTTTTAGAAGAGAATCCAAATTATCAAATACTGAAATTACTAAACAGGATAATTAGAGATTTGATACATAACCAGTTAAAATGGGGGATATAGATGATGACCTTGATTTTGATACTGAAATTGAATCTATGCGTTAAGCTAAAGCAAGATAGTTGTTCAATATGTAATAAAAACAGATGCAAGATCTTATTAAAAAATAAGAGTACCAAGATATGAATAGATAACTTAAAAGATTAAATGTTGATTCTAAATGTATTAATCAACTTACTTAGCCAAATACACTTACGATTTTGAAGGTAGAGTCCTTGTTTAGAAACCACCTGATGTCGAACGTTATCCAAGAACTTATTAAGACATCCAAGAAAAAAGAGTTTTACTAGAAGTCAAAGACCTATTTCCTCATCATAAACAATAATTAGAATCAATCAACAATTACAAAAAAAAAACCATTGAATCATGTAATCCTTCTACTTTATCTAATCGTTTTAGCTCATCTTAAATTGATATTATCTAATTATAAAAAGGAGTTGCTTTCATTGAAGGTAAAAATGAAAAAAGAAACGATCGTTAACATTCCTTAATTGAAATTAAAGATCCTAAAGAATTACAAAAAACTTTATCATAAATACATCTCAAAATGAGCAAAGAAGAATATTCAATTATTACTAATTAACCATTATAATCTAGTTTTAATAATAAATAATTGAATCTCACTCAACATAAAGTTTAATTATCTAATCAATTAACCAATCCTTAAATTCCTTTATCTATTAATGGAGATTATAGTATTTAATCATTAAATTCATCAATCTTATAAAAACTTAATGGAACCATATCAATTCTATCAGATCATTATGATGAATTATTAATAAACGAACCATCTTCATCCATTACACCTACAACTACCAAATTACCATAAATTTAATCATAAATATCATAAAATTTACCCTAAATCCCTTCCCATTTATTAACTGAACCCACTTCAAACCCTTTGACTAATTCTGTCACTAAATTACCGAAAACAATGTATGTTCCAGGAACATTTTCTAAGATCATTCCCAAATATCCTAGAGAAAGAATCTCAAGAATTGTCAAATAAATTAAATATTGATATTTCTATATATTCATTTATTCGAGAACTACATTTTTATTATCAAACTAAATTAACTATACCCAAAATTTATATAATTTATTTATATCTAATCATAAACTATTAATATTATTACTCCCCAATTAAATTTATTTTTTTATATCTGAAGTTTGTTTATTATTTTTAGTCTTTGTTCTAATTTAATATTGAATTTCTCAAAAATTTTCTCTTAAATTCATTTAATTATTTTAATATTTGATATTCTAAATATAATGAAACTTTCTAAAATTAACAACCTATTATTCGAATTGAGTTAAACTAAAAATATTAAAACGAAGAACAAGAATCTTTATCAAATAATTTTTAATTTTTTCACAATTCTCATTTTTTTTTAAATTAAATAAATTTAAGTTCTCAAAACTTTCTTTATCTTGGAAAAAAAAAGTTTATTATGAGTTGCCAATTACTGGCTAAACTTAATTAAATCAATTTTTAAGAAACTTTTTTTAAAAATCAATAATATCTGACTGAAAATAATTGCAAGAAATAATTTTTTTATTTTAAATACTACTCCTCAAATAGGAAGAATCATGAATCCATATAATTTTTTCGAAAAGCAGAAAAATTTTCCTTTAAATACATTTCATTATCACATTTGGATATATTTTTATTTTAAATTCTCTTCCAATAGTGAGATAATTATAAGTTTCCAGAAATCATTTTAATTTATAACTGCAATAAGGTAAAATTCAAAATATTTAATATTTATTCTTTATTTCATTTGATTTAACATTCTGTAAAAAAGGTTATAAATTTAACATTAAGAAAAATATAAATAATCTTATAATTGAGAGAAGATTTTAAATAGTTTGAGAATTTTGAATCAGTGTTTTGAAATCCTTTTTTTTAATTTTATTTATTTCGTTTTTAAATTAGAAAAATACAAAAAAGAGTCATGAAAAATAACTAAGATAAAGATATAGGTCTTAATGTAGTTTATTTAATACAATAACATAAGTATTTATAGGGATTAAAGAAATAGTTTATCATAAGATAGAAAGAAAGTAACTCTTGATTAATTCCATCTTTTAAGTGTCATAGGAAAAGGGTCAATAGGAAAGGTTGTTTTAGTAAGAAAAAAGGATAATTAAAAAACTTATGCTCTAAAAGTAATCAAAAAAACATAATTGATATAAAATCATTAGGTGAAATAAATCTATGCTGAGAGAAATATTCTTGTAATGAAAAATGAATTAATATTTTTAGTAAAACTGTCATCATCCATTCATAATAAAATTAGAATATGCATTTTAAAATGAAACAAAGTTATACTTTTGTTTACAATATTGTCCTGGTGGAGAACTATATAATTTATTAGTTTAAAAAAATAAATTAACTGAAGAACAGTAAATAAGTTATTAATAAACAAAGAGCACAATTCTATGCATCTTAAATAGTCCTGGCCTTCCATTACTTACATGAATAAGATATAATATATAGAGAGTAGATTTGTTTATTAATTAAATTAGTTTAAAACCAGAGAATGTGTTGATTGATTCAGAAGGTTATATCAAATTAACAGACTTTGGATATTCTAAATAAGGTATTTAAGGTAATTTTGGAGCACATTCAAAATGTGGAACAGCTGAATATTTAGCTCCAGAATTATTAGCAGGTAATCATGGTAAAGCAGCAGATTGGTGGACATTTGGTACATTAATTTATGAAATGGTAATTGGTGAACCAGCATTTTATGCAGAGACTAAAGAGGAATTATTCAATTAAATTCTTCATTAAGAAATAAATTACAAAAAAATAGGTGTTTCATCTCAATTAAAAGATTTATTATCAAAATTATTATAAAAAGATCCAAATTCTAGAATTAGTTCAGCAAGCGAAGTAAATATTAATATAATATTAAATAGGTTAAAAAACATCCATGGTTTAAAAATATAGATTGGGATATGATTTTAAATAAATAAGTTCCTCCTGTATTTCTTCCATAATTAAATAGTGACGATGATGTTCAATATTTTGATGAAGTATAGCATTTCTCTTAAAATCTAGTGTTTTCTAAAAGAACTTATTTTCTCATAACCAAATTCATTATCAACAGAAGAATAATTATCTAGTCTCAATTAAGGATTTTCTTATTCTGCATCTCCTCCACAAAAAGAAGAATAATGGGAGTTTTGATTCTTTACTATAATTAATTAAATTTATATTTAAAAAGTAGAAATATGCATATACTTACTATTCATTTTTTCTTTTTGGATGGATTTTTGGATACATTATGAGCAAAATCAAAAAGCAATTTGTATTTTTACTCTATTTGTAAAATACTATTTTTTCTTTTTCCTAATTCTGAATATCCACATTAAGAATTTGGAGTTACAGTAGTTTCAGTAACTTAATGGGTTGGAGTAACACTTTTAATATATTTTGGAGGGTTAAGTTTAAATTAAATTTCGAGCAGTTATCTTAAATCAGTTTATTAATTAATTAATTATGTAGAATTAGATCGTTGTATCTATATTTTACTATTCTTTCTCTCATTATTTTTAAAATCAATCATAGAATTTCTTAACTGTTGTTTCTTTCTATTTATTTTATTTTGCCATTATAAATTTCTATTATATACATCACAACTATTAATTCTTGTATTGCTATTATCTCTCCAATTTGGACTAAATGTGCACTATGATTAAATTTTAATATTTACTTCTTTAATTGCTTTTTCTTATTAAATTTCTAATTACTCAGATATTTTATCATTCTTTTTTCTCATCCATATATTTTATCTTTCGAGAAAAGTGCTTTCATTAATTATTTTAGATTTCTAATTAATTCTTGGATTAAATGTACATTCTTTCATCTCTTTTATATTATTTATTATTTATCCCTTCTCTATATAAGTTTTAAACTTTTCTTGTTAAAATATTGCTTTCTAATACAAATAATCTTATTATAGTGATAAATTGGATTTAGTTTATGATGTATTATGTGTATTCAAACTTGTTTGTGAATTTTTTCGAATATTATTTGTTGAATTAGCTAATACATTTTTTTTAATTTCATTTGATATTAAATCACTTAATCTATTTTATTGATAATTTTTTTTCTAATAAGGATTAAGCTTATTCTCTTTTTCTTACTTAAATTTTTTAATAAAACCTTTATTTACTTTATTTGAATCTTAGGATAGTTTAATTTGTAAGTTTTAAATTAATTTTAACTATTTTTGAAAGAATTGTTGATTTTATTGAGTTTCGCTTATTTGCTTTCTTTCACTTGAAATAGCCTCTGAAAAATTAGGTGTTGGATCATCTTGAACAATAGAATTCTTAAAAGGTAATAATTATTTAGAACTAGATAAAGTTAATATGAATTTAATACTTCTAAATAAAAGAGAAATTTTGAGATCCTAAAAATTCATTTTATGGAAGATGTTTTACAACTTAACCTATTTTTGATAGATAATCAATATTATCAGAAGTGATTTTTTTAACGTCTAGAAGATCACTCGCTTTTTCACATCCAAAGTTCCTTATTTTTTTTAAACTTTAAAGAGCTTCTTAAGCTTATGGAGATAAATGCTAGAACTATTCGCACTTTTTTAAGGTATGAGCAGATGAAGTATGAATTTGCATCCAACGTATTAACAAATTAAATTTATAATTAGATGGAAGTTTTACGATAAACTGCAAATAGTATATAAAATTGATATGTTATTTTCATTATTTCTTTGCCTTGTCCATTTGATATTGAAGTTCTTCTAATTATCGTTGAATATCTTCTAATTCATGCATTGGTACAGATTCAGATGCGTTATCATCATCCTTTTACTCTGTTTAATCTATAAAATCAATCTATTAAATCATACCTTAATTATTCATTCCTTTCTTATTTTATTTATTACTTTATTTCATTGTTTTTGATGCACCTCTTGATTAACTCCCCTTTACTTTTATAGTTTATTATTAATTGTTTGCATTATTTTTCTTTCCAGAAGAATAGATTACACCAGTCTCTTTAGCTAATTATTATTTAAGCTATTATGCTTCTTCTTAATATTTAACTAAATCTTCAGGAGATTTATTTTCATTTTATTTTTCACCTTGTGATTTCTCACAATCTTTTACTTTCTTTGTCAATATTTTTATGTCATTCTTAAATCCTTCTATTTCTAAAGATCTTCTCTTTTCTAATTATTAATATCTAATTATAATCATTTTCATTACTTCTCAATTAATTTAGATAGATTCTCTTCCAATTATTATATTTTACTTATATAAATATTCTAAACTTGTTCATATTATTCTTTTATTATAGATAATTGCTCATCTTTTGATCTAATTTAACTTCTAAATTTCTTATTGTATTCATCAGATTTTTTCTCAAGTAATTCTAAAGCTGTTTTATTTTCTATATTGTATTTTTTTTAAATTTAATCCAATTCCATTTTCAATTTTTTATTTTTTAACTTTGATACTTCCAAATCTTCTTACATTTGTTTCTCTTTATTCTAAAATTTCTACTTTTATGAATAACATTCTATTTATTGTTATTTAAATTTATACCTTTAACAAGTTCAACATTTTATTTTTCTAATTTTTATACTTTTTAAACCAATTAATCTAATTTTTATTAATCTTCTTTAATTCTTAACTTAGTTTCAACTTCTTTAGCTCTTAATTCTTCTCTCAAAGCTGCAAATTATTAAGTTAATATAGTTTCAGCATTTTCAATTAATTTTTTGAGATTTTCATTTTCTAATTAATAAGCATTTAACTATTCATTTGGCATATAAACTGTTTTTAATATACTTCTACCTTAATTAATATTGTGCATCTTAACACTATATATTTAAATAATATTTTATACTTTCCTTGTTTTTCTCTTACTGCCAAAGTATCACCTGTATATTTTGTAGTTACTTCTGGTCTTAAATCTTTTTATAAAACCACTTGTTCCTCAATTGGTTCAATCATAGCCATTAATTCAGCAATCTTTTTTTTATCTTCCAATTCTCTAACTTTTAAAGCATCATTTTCTTTTTACAATTTTAATCTTGCTTATCTTTCTTCAAAAAGCATTAACTAATTCTTTAATTTTATTTTTACCTTTGCTTCTCCAACTGTTTATTATAATTCTTTAATCTCTTATTTTCTTTTTAATAACTCCCATTCTTATTAATGTTTGTCTTCATACTAAATTTTTATTTCCTCTAATTTAGTTAACCATTCAAATCTTTCTTTCTCAAATTCCCCTAATTTGGATCTATAATAAGCCAATAAGTCTTGATATTGTTAAGGATCGTTTGGATTTATTGTTATCAAATTACTCAGATCTCGTTAACTCATTTTATAAACGTTAATTATTTTTTTGATTTTTATATTATATAAACAATTTATACTTATACATAATCATTCATTATGTTATTTTTATCCCAAACTCTTCAAACAACTTATTTATTTCCTATTTGGAATTTTTGTTCCTAATATGCAAGCTTTATAAATCACCCTCTGATATCTATTGATAATCTATCAATTTATTTAATTCATCTGGTTTAAAATTATTTATATCATAATTTAAAAAACTGTCACCTAAAGCTTTTTCTGATTCCTTTACTATCAATTCAGTTATTTTTAATTAATTAACTTATTTTTGGATTGGATCCTACAAACTCTTAAATTAATTAGATGTTTATTGACCCTGTATAAAAAGTTCAAGTTCTCCTCTTCTTTGTTATTAAGTTTGATTTTGAGAAAGAATAATTTCAATCTCAAATTATTTTTCTTATACTATATCTTTATCATTGGATTCATTATCACTATCTTCAGATTCATATTCTCTTAGATAAATTAAAGTTTATTTTACAATAACTGTTTCTTTTGTATCTTAGTACAACATTCTACAAATGGAAATTCATACTGACCAACTGTCTAATATTTTTATTTATTTTTAAAGTGCTCTGCATCAACATTATAATAATTTATTATCATTCCTAAATATCAATTTATTTTATATTTACTTCTTATTAATTCAATTATTCCAATATATAATATTAGAAGGCTATGTTATTCAGTCTTATCGAAACAACCAAATATTGAAGTAGATATTGATAATGGTTAAAGAATTGCAAAAGGAATATATATAATAATTAGTTTTTGCTTATAAGTTAACAATTGCTTTTTTTTATTTTCTTTTAAATCTAAATAGTTCCATTTTTTAAATGTAAACAAAATATTTAAAAAACTAATACATATAGCTATTCCTAACCAGTAAAAAAAAAAATTTTCTTCTTAATATGATAAAGTGGCAAAAGTTATAAGTGCAATTGATAATATATTTCTGATGAATTCAAATAAATATAAATTTGAACTATATTATTTTTAAGTCAAAAATATAATTTATATTATCAGAATTATATATGGAAATAACACTAAAGCTAAAGTGAAATATCTCGAAACAAAAAAACATTCATCATACTAATTATTATCATTTTCTTCTTGATTTTAAATCTAAAATAAATGGATATCTTACTCCTTTTGAATATTCACACAAAGTGTAAATTAGATCAGTAAATGGAATAATTAATGAAGTAAATTGACTTACAATGAAGAAATGACGTTGTTCTATTTATCTTGGGTTTAGAGATTGTAATAAATTACGATAAAGCCATATACGACCTTTCCCATTAATAATAACCTTTGAAGGAAATGCAACAACTCCTAAAAGAGAGATCCAGATTATTAAAGGAAAATACTCTTCTCCCTTAAGATTTGAAAATATTATACCTAATTTTGAAACATCACAGAGATAAAAAAGACTAACTAATAAAAAGATTGAAGTCAAAGTCATAACTCTTTTTAATTGTTCATTTATTGTTGAAAAATGATGATTAAAGCAAAAATATAATTTATAATTAATTTTGGATAAATTCCATAAATGAATAACTATGGTTAAAGACCAATAATAGAGTATAAACAATAATGCTCCTCTATAAATAGGGAATGATTCATAAATAATAGAGTTGTTTAAAATATTTAATTAATTTTGAGTTGCTAAGAATATAATGAAAGAAATTAGCATAAATGAAAAGCCACTGAATAAGCCGAATTAAAACCATGCCTTATTATTTTTAATATCTTGAAATTGATATTTACGAAGTTATTCTTTACAATATTTTTATTTAGTTTGATAGAAATGTTTTAATAGATACTTCTCTACTTGAAATAATAACTATTTCACTTTATTTTATTTTAAATTAAAATTGATTTCTGAAGCCATTTTCTTACATTCATCTATATTCATTTATTCTTAGTTTATTTTAATAGATTTTTTATTTTATTTTTTTAATAATTTTCGAATAGCTTCTTGATTGACTTTTAAATACTTTTCAAAATTAACACCTTCATTATATAATTGGAAACATAATTCTTTCAATTTTTTAGCTTTTTCATTTAATTCAAATTCTCTAACTTTGATCTATTAATTATTTAATTACTCAGTCAATTCTTCAGTTACTTAAGAATTTGATCTGATAACTGAATACTTTTTACTTCTCTCTAATTATTTTTGATATCTATTCATTGATAATAATTACAATTGTATTTTATAAGTCTTACCTTTCAAATCATTATATTTAGCATTTGCAAAAGATTTAATTTTAGACATTTCTAAATTCAACTTTTTAATAAATTCCTTTTAATCTGCAAGTATTTTTGAAATGATATAAGTTTTTTCCATAACAATTTTCTTTATTTCTTTGTAATTTTGAGTGCTCTTTGTTTTTTTTGCATAGAGTAAGAGGTCCTTAAGTGCTCCTGAAGTTGATAAATAAGCTTTAATAGCCTTATAGTTCAAATACATTTAAGTCCATTCTGGTATAATATGATTTAATAAGAATACAGCGAATTTCATTTAATAATTATTTAATCGTTAAAACAAAATTACATATGAAACCCTCACATATACCTGTTAGAGCATTTGGTAATGCAATACATCAGTAATCTATTGAATAACGTCAATTAAGACCTTCTTCTATTCAGTAAACTATGGAACCAAGATAAATTATGAGGTGCGTCTCTTAAGAATAAAAATTACCTTACAAACCTATTTAATATGTTTAATATTAATAGCCAAGGTAATCTTATTGAATAATCTTTTATTTTAGAGCTTCAAATCCACCAATCAAAAAACCATTACAAGAGACTGTTGCCTTTTACTAATAATTATAATAATAGAGTGTGCCCTTAAAAACTGAATAATTAAAAAAGGCATCTTTAATTTAAGAAATTAGTAAAGTTTAATCTTAAGCTTAATTGCACTTAGCTTAATAAGATGATACTAATCAATCTATTATTATTAAATAATAAAATGAATAAATTTAATCATTATAAACTTAATTATCTGAGAAAGTTCATTAATATTAATAATTGTAAGAAAGATTTAATGTGGAATTTAGAAAATTTTAAGAAGATCTTAAATACAAATTGACTAATATTGATCTAAATATTACATAGAATGATTACACTTAATAATTTATGTAAGAGATTGATAGAAAAGTTACAAACCTTTAGAAAAATCTTAATGAATAGATTAATGAACTTTAAGAGAAATTTGAGTAAAAATCAAAATAAAGTGAACATTTGGTAAAAAATTTATCTTCTAATACATCCTTAAGATTAAATGAAGATGAATAACATTTTAAACAAGAAATAGAAAATTTGAATAATAAATTAAATTAAAAAGCTGATAGATAGAAAGTAGAATAAACTATTTAAATATAAATAACTTAATTACAAAGTTAATACTAATTATAGTTGTAATAAGCTCATTAATTATTAAATAAGATAAATAATGAAAAGAGTGATGAATTATAATTAATAAAAGATCAAATATAAAATACTTTATTGCGTCTAACATAATAAGTAAATTAAAAATTATAAAATATGTATGATACAATAAATGAGCGAGATTTAGAAAGTAATAATAATAGATAAGAGAGTAAATAATTAAATTAGCATTTTATGAATTTAACAAATAGATTTCAGCAATTGTAATAATAATCTATTGAAACAATTACATAATTAAAGTAGAAAAATAAATAGATTGAAAAAGAGAAGTAAGAATTAAGTAAATAATTAACTTAATAATAATTTTTGGTAACTTAACTTTAATCTGAAATAGCAAAATAAAAAAATACTAATTCTTAATTGACTTTATAATTATCTCCTTAAGTAAAATAAAACAGTTTTTTTTCAAGTTCTACAGCAGTAGCAAATTAAAAATCAAAAAAATAATAAAGTTTAGTCAAAAAGAAAAATGAAATTAGTTTGGATGATTTTGCAGATTTCAATGAAAATTCATTATTAGATTCAAATGATAGTTTTGAAATAAATGAAACATGTGGTTTTAGTAAATCAAAAAAGACTCCATAGATAGTAGAATTTTAGAGTCCTGCAAGAAATCCTTTTAAGAAATGTTAATAATAAAATTATAATAAAATATTAAATGATGATAATAGTTGTCAAGTATCATGTAAGAGTAGAGGTAAATCAGCACCATAACCAATAATAAATGCTTTAGCAAAAGCAATAAAAAGAAGTATATAATAAATGAATAATTTGAATAGGATTGTTATATCTAGGTAAAAATGATAGAATTTTAACATGTGCATATGATTCTGAGAAACATTTGATTGATAGTGTTATGGGATTATGTTTATTAGATGAGAATGGTTCTCCATTTATAATTAACGAAGAGGAAAAAAACTAATTGATACAAATGAAGTTGATTAGAATGAACTGAACTATTATTATAAATACTTTGATATATTTAATTATTATTAAATAAATACGGTTATATTATTAATGTATCAATAATAATTAAGATCAACTCCAACACTGCATAAAGTTGTATCTCCTACATATTGTTTGATAGATGGGTTAGACCAACCACCAAAAGCATATTTAGGATAATCACTAAAGGATGGATTATTATCATAATGTGCATACCAAAGAGGCTTAGAAGTAAATTTAGCACATGCTGAAGCTGAACCCATAATAGTTGACCATTAATATTAAGATGCATAAATTCCTACTAATCTTCCTCTATTTACTAATTCTTTTACTATGTCTTATAAAAATTGACAATTTCCTGTATAATCTGATGCACTCCATCCACATCCTGAACTTGGATTAGATTCAACATCAATCCAAACTGTACCATATTCAGAAGTATATGCACTATCAAATTCAGATACTTAGGCTGAAGCTGTCTTCTCTTTATAAGTTAAGATTTATATTTATACTTCCTTTACAAGGGAAAAAATATGCATCACCTATCAATCCAGCTGCTTTTGCATTTCTTAAATTTTAAAGACCTACATAATCAACTGCTCCATAACTCATATATCCTCTTACTATAGCAAATTCATAACCAGAATTTCTTATGCATGAAAAATTATTGAAAGATGCACTCAAATCAACTCCTTTTACTGCAATTACTGTTGGAACTCCTATTAATATTAAGAAGAGGATAATATTTAATTATTTCATTAATTAATTAATTCTTTCCATTTAAATTCCTAGTATAAGAATAACACTATGACGTAATGATCAATATTTTATTTATAAATTATTATACTTTTTTTTAATATTTCAATTAATTTTAATTGAATTATAAAGATTTAATAACAATAAATATATAAAATCACATTAATTAATTTATATGTTCTCTTATTAGTTTAGATTCTACATTTAATTAATTCTATTAAATTTGAATACTTTTCTTAATTATATCTATAAGAGTGTTATCCATATTTAAAGATTTATTTTTAATATTGTAAATTAATACTTTACGATATGTTAAGAGTAATAAAAGCACTATTTATGATTATTTACTTGAATTTTCTCCAGAATTCATATTTAAATACTAAATCAAATTATTTATTAATAATTTAAGATCTTTTAAATCTTAATTTGTATAAATCTATTTGTTTGAAGCTTGATTGATTATTTTTTTATGCTAAATTATAATATTAAAAATGTCTATTTTACAATTTACATAAATAGGAATCAATTCAAGTTGTTTCTCAATCACTTTAATAACTGATTGCAATTAAGATTTACCTTAAAATGATTAGTTTTGAAAATGCCCACTTAAACTATTAGTTCTTTTAACTCTTTCTGTCTTTAGATCTCTAAAAGTATGATATTCTGAAACTTTATTGTTATCTTCTAATTGAAATTCTGAAACTTTAGCTAAATCTAATTCAAATGTCAATTTATTAGAAGTATTAGTAGAATGAGATTGAAAAGCACTTGGAGTTCTACAAGTATCATTATTATTGCTATTGAATTATTATTTAACATTTTGAATTTTATCTATAATAGAAGTCAATTCACTTCTAGAAGTATGAAATCTATTATTTTAAGAGGTACTTCTTTCTTTTTGTTATTTAGATTTGTTTTCTATAAACTTTTCCCTTAAATCTAAATAACTGCTTGTTTATTTAGATTTATCATGAACAGGTGTTTTATTATCATATCTATTAGATCTTTCATTAGTTTATAAGGTAGCATTACTTAAACTACGATTATGATTATTAATTTATTAACATAAAGATTCAGTCCTTTTTTTAATTCTTTACATTTAAAGTGAGTATTTAGATTAATTACTTGATAAATTCTAATTCTCTTATTAGGTAGGTGACTAAATTATTTCTTTAATAATTTAAGTTGGAGAATTGTCTTTATTTTCATTAGTAGTTAAATTGACTGCTTTAAAAAGTTCTTCCCAATTCCATCTTTTTTCTTCTCTAATTTATAAACATCCTTTTATTAATAATTTAGTCGAATCAGATACATAAGGATGAAGTGGAAATGAAAGTGGCTATATTTGATAATAGATTGAAATATACCTTTGAATCTAATTTGTTCATTAATTCTACCAAATTTTAAGAATGCCATGGTGTTAGACCATAAAGCAATTCATACATAATTAATCCTAATGACCAAATATCACATTTAGAAGAATATTTGCCTCTTTTTAAAATTTAAGGACTCATATATAAAGGTGTTCCTACCAGAGAATTCATAATTGTATCAAGATTTTAATCTATTTATTTTGCAAATCCAAAATCTGTTATTTTAAATTGAGATTCATGGATGAGAATATTTGCAGGTTTTATATCACGATGTATGATACCTTATTTTAATAATGCCTTTATTCCTTATAATAAATCCTTTAAGATCTTAAGTGCTTCCTCTTCAGGGATTACTCTAAATATTTTGGATATTCTACTTTCTGGTTTTTATAAACTCTCTTAGATCTCCTCCATTACAAAATTCTGTTATTATATAAGTATTATTTGCACTTTATAATACATCTAATAGCTTTACTACATGAGAATCGTTTATTTTTTTCATTATCTCAATTTCAGATGTTATAAGTTAATTGGCATAATCTGTTAGTAATAACTTTTTATCAATTATTTTAAGTGCTACAATACTATCTAAATAATAAATATATAAATTTACTATCATTAGTATTTTTACCAGCATAAACTGTCCCATAAGCACCTTTCCCTAATAAGGATTTAAAACTAAATTGATAATTCTATATTTTTTTATCAGGTGGATGACTTAGATGTTGCATTTTATATTTGAATTTGAAATATTTATTTAATGTTTTCAAGAATTGTCTAATTTAAAATTTATGGCAAAATTGATGAAAAACTGTATTAACTAATTTCATTATTTAGAACCTAAAAAGTCTATAAAAGTATATAGTAAACTAAACTAATTAAACCAAAATTAGTGACTATTCATATCCATGGAGAAGGCTCACTTGTTTAATCTAAATGTATTGCATCTGCTATTTAAAATTATGCAAAATATTATAAGTAATCTTGAAACTATATTTATACAGAGTGCCTCTTTATACTTTTGGAGAAGATTTTGTTATGAACAGTTCTGTGTATTTAATGACCATAGGAGACAAAAATTATGCAAGTGAATTTTCAATAATAGGAGATTTTGGATATGTTCAAAGAAGATTGGGATATAAGTAAATAATGGAAAATTTGGGAATGTATTAAAATAGATGATTAAATTAAGAGAACATAAATTTATTCACAGTGGTGAAAAAAAAGTAAAATTGAGTCCATATGATGATTTAAAAGAAGAAGATATAAAATGGTAGAAAGAATTTTAAAAGATTATAGGATGGAAGGTTAACTTTAATATAGAGAGAGTAGATTAAAAGAAGAGATAACTTAAAACAGAAAGTAAAAAGTAAATCAAGAATTGTGGAATAACATATTGTTGACAGGAGAATAGGCATTAAAATATGGTTTAGTTGATGGAGTGGGTATTTTCGATGATGTTAGAGAGAAAGAATATAAAGGAATGAAAACATACGATATTTTGTCTAATGTTTTAGATTATTATGTTCCTGCCAAGTATAAAAATTAAAAAATAAATCTAGTGCAACATTCTCTAATTACTTACCGATTTGATAGAATGTTTTATTCATATAAATTATTTAATTAAAGTATCTTATTTTTGAATCCATTGTAATAATCTTAAGGCATCTGACCATCTATTTTCACTTGTACTGCAATTCAAGAGTACAATTATATAAGAATTGCTTTAATCTTAAAAAAATTCAACTACAGAGGGACCTGCTTCTTTTGTTATTCCTGTTTTGACTCCTTTAAAACCTTATTATAATAATTTATTAGTATTCTCCCAATATAATTCTCGAGAGGTATTCTACAACTAATTTTAAATTTCACAATAATAAGATTAAGTTTTTACTATTTTTTAAAATTGTTCATTTTATAAACTCTCAAATGTGAATTTACCTACATCATATGCAGTAGAGTAATTATTTTCATTACATAATCCTTTTAAAATATTACATTATCATACCATGAACATTACTAAATTATGTATTAGACAATCCTAATGATTGTACAAATCGATTCATCTCTTTTAAAAAGTGATCATTTTCTAAAGAGTATAATTAGAAATTATATGATAGTGTTATCGCAGCATCATTACCTGATGGAAGCATCAATCCATAAAGGATGTCTCTTAAAAAGATAGAGTCTCCTTTCAATAATCCTGCTGTTGTTCCAAGAATTTTTTATGCCTATTTAATTTAATTAATTAACTTGATCTGGAACAAAAAAGCGTTTTCTATCTATGTTCAAATTTAATTCTTTTGCTAACCTTAAACTTACAATACAAGTAACAATTTTTGTGATGGAAGCTATCTGTCTACATTTATTTTAATTATATCCAGTTATATATTCTCCTGTACAACCATTGAATATAGCCCAACTTTAAGCAGAAACTTTAAAAAATGGAATTAACTGCATGTATAAAGGTACTTTGCATAATTAAGTTTAAAAGATAGTTTGAGTGGGCTATTTTTGCTTAAATGATATTTTTCTGCTCCCATATTAACTATGAACACCTCTTTCTTATATTTTATTAGGTTTTGTATTAGTTTTGAGTTTAATGGAAAATTCTGATGATGGATCTTATGAATATAAATTGCTTTCAATAGATTTCATTCTACTGATAGTTCGTTTTGTGGAAAATCTTAGTTAAGTTTGGAAACCTTAAACCCAATTTTTAATTTAGATTGGTTATAAAGTTTCATCATTCATTTTATAAATAAATATAATAAAATATATATATCCATTGAATAGATTGCACTAAAATTATATATATATATTTATATTTAAATCCAAGATATGAGAAATAAGCCATAAGCTCAAGTACCAGTAACTTAAAAGTAATAACCTTAAAAATAAGGAAATGTGAGAAAGCCATAAGAAAGGTAATTAATGATGTTAGAAATGTGAAGACCAGGATTAACAGATGATGAGATTGATGAAATAAGGGAAGCTTTTAATTTATTTGATACAGAAGGGACAGGAAGAGTAGATCCTAGAGAATTAAAAGCAGCTATGTAAAGTTTAGGATTTGATTAAAAAAACCCAACAATATTCAATATGATTGCTGAGCTAGAAAGCGAAGGGTATTTAATGAAAGTAAGAAATAGTACTGATATTGATTTTGATTAATTTTTGGATGCCATTACATCAAAATTGGGAAATAGAGAAAATAGAGATGGTATAAATAAAATATTTGATTTATTTGATGATGATGGTAGCAATTCCATTAATTTGAATAACTTGAAAAGAGTAATGTTAATAAATTGAAGTTGTTATAGGTGGCTAAAGAATTAGGTGAAACAATGACACCAGAAGAGTTAGCAGAAATGTTAGAGAGAGCAGCATCAAATGGAAGAGAAATTACAAGAGAAGATTTCTATAATATAATGGTTAAGAGAACATTTTGATAACCATCAGATATATATATATTAAATTAATAATTAAATGATTAAATTAGAGGCACATACCTTTCATCATAAAAATGTTATGATTCCAACTTAATTATCAAATAAATCTCCCATAGATATAGTAAGATAGAAAAAAATAATATTCAAAAGAGAATTGTTAAATACAGAATAGAATTATATAGTTCAAGTAACACTCTATTTCTATTTAGTCAGACTGAAGAATAATAAGAAATTATATATATCAAGCCAGATATTCCAGATCTCATAATTACAGATCTTACTAACATGGCAATATAGGAAGATATATCTGAATATTAAGCCTTAGAGAATCATGTAAGAGCAGCTAAACTATTAGAATATTTCACATAGAATTAGTAATCCAAATTTTTATATTAGGATTCAAGTATAATATACTTCAGTTTTATTCTCAAAAATTAATTATGCCATTATCTTAAAAAAATATGCTGTTTAAAATGAAGCATTAGAATTATTATTAGATTGTGATTAAATTCTTAAAATTAAAGGAAAGACTCTCAAAAAAACACCAACTGAAAGTTTAAGTTTAGCAAAAATAATCTAAAACAAATTATTGAGATTAAGACTTATATTTCAAATAGCTCTTCTTTTCTCAGAAACCAAAAAGTAAACTTCATTTACTATATATATAAGGAATAAACAGGCATTAGAAATGGCTAAAAATGCTTTAGTAATTCTAAAAAGCATTATATAGAATACAATCAAATTATGTCAGCAAATTACAATTTTATCTACAATCAATAAAAAATAAAGAGCTAATTCAGAAATTAATTCTCCTTTATAAAAAATTTAATCATCCTAATCAACTATTTTACCTCCATAATAATAATAATAATAAGTTCTATCTTATCCACAAATTGTTGAAGTAGTTTTTAAAGAAATTCTAACATCTATTAAATCTATGTTGCCAAATGATGATAAATCATATGATGTTTAGACTGCTCAAAATCTAATGGTTCGAAGTTATTAAAATAGAAGTCAATCTTTATTTACAGTTGATTAAGTCTTTTAATATCAAAATAATTAATAAAATAAATTATTCTCTATTATCGATGACAATCATCCTATGTTATAAATGTAAATTTTAGGGTTGATGTAATTAACTTATGTAGATTTAGAAGAATTATTTCCTATTAATAGTTATGAAATGGTTATGGCTGAAGAAGTAATCTTGGAATTAGTAAATATCATTAATAAATTAGATTATGTTGACAGGATTATCTTTCTATAGTATCTCGACAGAACTTAGATTCATTAATAATTTATCTAATAAATTGACTGTTGAAATTTGGTTAGGAAAAGCTATGGAAATCTTCTATACTTATGTACCTCATTCGAGTGCCATTTTTAATTAGATTTATTAGGTCTATTAAAAATTATATGGAGTTGATAAATAATCTATTGTAATTTATTCATCAGATAATTTAGCCAGAGGATGGAGAAATAGAATACCATACCAAATTACTTAAACCACATCCTTTTAATAATAAATCTACTCTCTCTAATAAAGTTGTTATTATTATCAAAGTTCCTCATCAAACTAAATTATCTTAAGAAATAGATACAAAGTAATCTTAGAATACTTAAACTAATTTTCAAAAAATCTATTAAACAATATTAGCTAAAAAATAAATCCAACTTCCTTAAAAACATAGTGTTACTCAACCTGACACTGATAAAAAATTAGATACTATATAAGACGAACATGAAAAGTCACATTTATAATTATAATAAACACTTATCAAAAAAAATAATAATTTCCTTAATTCAAATGATATTAAATAGAGAGTAGATATTTTAATGAATTAAATTCTTAATTAATAAGCCAAATTAACTTAAGAAAAATTAAAATAAAAACATGCACCTATTACTATTTTAAAATAAAAATATTAGATAGCTAATAAAGTTTAGGAAAATTAGAAAACCATTAATCCATTAATCTCTTCATAAAATAAAACTACTATCTCTGGTAGTAGATCACTTTCTAATTCAAGAAAAACTAGTTAAGCTAATTTAAAAAACTAATAAAATAGTATCAAAATTGCTTAAATGAGATATAGAACTCAAATGAGCACAATTCCTACAGATGATTCATCTAAATAACTTGCTTTACAAATTGCTGCTCAATTAACTAGTTTTAATCGCTAAAATAATGTAAAATTTATTTAAACTTATATTTAGAAAGGATTTCTTTTAAAAAGAAGTGATTCTGCAAAAAAACCAAAAGTTCCATTTTAATAACGCTGATTTACTAAATAAATTTAATTATAACTAAAAATTGTTACTTATATTTATTTATTTGATTAATAATTTTATGCATATGATTAGTCAAATACCATCATTTACTGAAATAAAATGTAGAATATTCTTCATCTGTATTTAATTATTAATCATGGGACTATTATTGTGAACTATTTATAAAACTAAATTTAGGCGAATCTAACTAATTAGGTTAACTTAAAAAATTAAAATAATCTTATCTGATTGGATAGTCTTAATTGTTAATACAAATTTCTCCTTAATTTTTTTGATCAATAAATTATTTATACAATTAATTCTTCTAATCCGAAAATTCTTAAATCTTATCGATCTTTTCAACTTAAAAAATTTTATCTTTTCCTAATTTTTCTAAAAATATTTCATCTAACTGATTTAAATTTTGAATTGATTTTAAGTATTCATTTTAATCAACATGAAAATTTAGAGGTTAGTTTATTATATCAATAAATTACCTTTCCATTTTGATAAAATCTTATACTAAATCATTATCAAAATTAATTTATAATGATTCCTTAAAATTTATCAAAACTTCTAAACATGTATAGATTTAATTAATATAATATTGTGTTACCCTAATATTTTTTAAGTCTTAGAAATTAAAAATACCTAATAATTGTTGAATACTCCACTATTAAAAAATTAATTTTGTTGAGGAACAGTTTATATCATATATTTCATTTGGGAATTTTCGATTTGTTATCTAAGATAATAATTGATAAGAAAACTTT